ATTTAACCGTTTGATAAAAACCATAAGAAAAGCAGATTGAAAAAAATTCTGTATATATGACATATGTACATACATACAAACATTTTTACTTTTCTTATTTAGCACAATAATGAAACAATAAAAACAAGAGTAAAAAAAAAAGGAGTTTGCAAGGGTATATAAGAGAAAAAAATAAAATGGTTATAATAACAAAATTTTTTTCCCATTTAATAAATTACAAAATTCTGAAGGTTTTCTTCCTTTTTGGTCTTATTGTTAGTTTATTATCATTTTTGTTTTTGTTATTTTTGTTTTGGTGTTTTTGTATAAATTGAAATTTAATCCTTGCTGGTCCAGACCTATAAACCTAAATTTCATTGTTTGTTAAGGATTTCATTTTTCTGATTTTCCTTATTGTTTTCATTTTTTCTTTAATTTCCGTTTTAAAATTTTTGTCGTCAAATTGAGGTCTTCTTCGTTGAATAAAATTGAAAATATTCGTTACTATTTATTTTTGCATTTCTCTCCCTTCTTCACGCTTTTCTTGTTTTTTTCAAGAATATTTTCTTCATTTAGTTTCTTTTTATTTATATATACATACAAAATTATTATTATTCTTATATACATTTTTAATAATAAGAAAAACATAAATGAGAAGGGAAAAACGACTTTTAAGTAAACAAGGAAGAGAACATTTTTCTCGAAATGAAATTTGCATCACTAAATAAAAATAACAGAATGTTAAAAAAACAAACAACAAGTGAATGTATCTAAAGCAAAGCATCATACAACAATAAGTATAGAAGAGAAAAAAGTGATTCTTAAACTACAAAAAAAAAAAAAAATGATAAAAAATAAAAAGATGAAGAAAAATTTTTATTGTCCTTTAACAAAAAAAAAAAAGCATATTTTCTTTGTATTCTTTTAATTTTTGTCCTTTGCATTGTGTTTAGTATTTGTATATGACTTAGAAAATAAAAAGGACATTTATTTATGCATAAAGTTTTACTTCGTTTTTTTTTTTTCCTTTGAATTTTGAAAGAAAAGATTCATTATAATTAGACGATTCATCATACGGTTAAAGTGAGACAGTAGCATAGTTTAGGAACAATTTAAAACTGCTTGACTTTCAAATCATATTGAGAATCTGATGGATTCTGTCGAATATAAGTTTACATTTCGTTTTAATTTAATTTCCATTGATCTTGTGAACTTAAAATTGGCATTCATCAGATTTGAAGTCAGTAAAAATTGTTTAAAAATAGGCTTAGCTTTATTTATAAATCGAAATTAAATAAAATATTTAATTGTGTAAAAGCCTGAAATTTCTCGTAGATTACAGAGAATTTGGCCCTTATTATTTTTGGATATAGGGAATAATTTTTTATATGAAAATGCTTTAAAAGGAGTTTCAACCTTACCTTGAATATTCTATTGAATTAAAATTGAAGAATAAACTTTGCCTTAAATTCGAAAAGTTTTATTTTTCTTGAATTTAAAATAATTTGCTATAGTAAAACCACTGTAATAAAATTATTTGTTCCATTTTTTCTTTTGTACCTAAGCACGTATTTGTTTTTCTACTTTGTTTTTATCAATTTTATATGTTGTTGCTCCCTATTGTAATTTCATTTCTTATTACACTGTAGGTGTAAAATTTGTAATTTTCATTTTTGTTTCTTTTTCTTTTAATATTTTTATGTAATTTTTCTCGTGAGCCGTATATTTTGAGAATTCAGAAGCTTATCATAATTTTCAGTCTGATTTTCAGAATTTTCACAATCATTATGAATGATCATCAACCGGGAAATATATAAATTTTTTTTTACTTTTGTTTTCTATATTTATACGTATATGTAAATTATGAAAATATTGTTTTGTGTTTTAATGTTTTCCTTCTCTTTCTTTCAATAACAGCAGGATGGTCGTTTTCCATTGAAGTTTTTAAGAAGAATAATAAAAATGTGTTAATAAATAAATGAATAAATAAGGAGAATGAATAAATAAACAACCAAGTAATTTATTTAAAAATTAGAAATAAAAGAAAAAAGGAAAAATAGAAAAAAAACAAAATGAAAATGACAGTATAGGAAATAAAGAAAATTTTTGTGTAATTATGTTAATTGCTGAGAAAGAAAAAAATTTTTTCGTTTTATAGAAATGTCATGACAGGACTTTATTGTTCAAAAAAAAGAAAAACTTTTTTCTTTTCATTACTTTTCCTTGTATTTTTTAATTTGTCCTTAGAAATTATGTAGTTGAGATAATGAGTATTTTAAGTAGTTTTAAAATAGTTAAAAATTTATATTTATTCTTTTGGATATTTTTTGTATAGTTTACATATAAATCTGTTTTATTTTACTATAGAATAGAAAATTTGAAATAAATTTTTAAAATTCATTTGTTTTCTAGATTTCATTTAAATTGAATTAAGAAGATGTGGATACTAGCGATTATAAATATAAACGGAATATTAATAAAAAGAAGTTAAGCTTTTCTATTCAAAATTTGGAAAATTTTAAAGAAATTTTAGGTAAAATTAAAAAAATATAAAAATTCAATTAAAATAAAAGGGCTCTTCATGAACGAAGTAGATTGAGATATATGGCAGAAACTGCGGTTTATTTTCGTTCATAAACTAATTTTAATAATCTAGTTTGTTCATAAAAATTTCTAAATTTTCACGACATGCAGCGAAATTATTATAAGCAGTACAGTTAAATCATATCAACTGTTTTGATGTTATGGAGTTAAAAATATATTGCGTTTGTGAAAATCTCTAAAAATTGAGGCTATTTCATGAAAAATTTCACTTTAATTTTTTTTGATTTTATTTATTTTTCCAATATAATGATTTTATAATTTATTTTCAGAGATACAGATGTAACAAAATCTGTACAACTAAAAAATTAATTTATTTTTGTTTATTTCATTTTCTAATACCACAGCTAAATTTATTTGTGAAGAAAAACTAGGAATAAAATTTTCTAATATTTTCGTTTTAATTTAAAATTTAGTACTAACTTAAACTACATTACAGGCTAAATTTTGCATTATTTTTTGCCACAATAAATTTTATTGTTGTAATGATAAAAATTATTAATTAATAAGTTATCGGAATATTGACATTTTTTAAAGAAATTTTCAATAATTGAATAAATCATATTTGAAACCAAGGCAATGTTATTATTTTCATGTAGTTTTTCGGTAGAGTAATAAAATGGCAAATGCAGCATTAATTTTAAGAGTTTATTTTATACAATTTGTAATTTTTTAATATGCGTTGCGGCGATATCGTGAAAAACAGGACAACCATACAATATAATTCTTTGTAAGAAATATTTTCTATTTTCGAGTATGAAGTATTCATTTTAGTATCTAACTGAATTAACCCATGGTAGAGGTGTATTATGGAACATTATGTTTGCCGTAAGAACGAAACAAGATTTCCTTTTACAAGCAAAATAAATGCAACTAGTTTTATCTGGGTTAATGAGAGTTTTCCACTTTTGAAAATAATTAGATATGACATTTAAACAATTCGGATGATAGAATATGGTATTATTACCATAGACGTTGGCAGAAAATAAGGTTGAGCCATCAGCAAAAACAGACAAACACAGTGTTTTCGCTCACAGGAATATCTTAAGCATAAATGTTATATAAAACAGAGTCAAGAACAGAACCCTGAGGGTTTTTCACTTTTGTCATTATTTTATATGGCCTGTTGTATTTAAGTATATAAAAAAAAGGCCAAGTACTTGGTTTTTAAATGCATGTGTATTAATTTTGTGTTAAATTTCATAACGTGTATATGAGAAGGTAAATAAGAATAAAATTTCGATTGGTATGACAACAAAAGTTTTGCCTTTTTTAATAAATTATTATTCCAATATTTTCATAAATTAAAAATAAACTTTTTTATAATTCATTTGTGCTCTTATAGATTTATTTTATATTATTAGGTATATTAGTATTAATACAATTATAAAAAAGAATTACAGCTTATTATAGTTGTATTTTTTACACAATTGTACAATCTCTTTAAGAATTTCATTATAATTTTACCGCGCAATTACTTCTCTATTTTTGAAGACCACAATTTAAATTTTAAGCATTTATGACATCATTGAAACAATAATAGGTATCATATTACTACAGAGTCAATAATTTGAGTAAGTATGTACATATATTGTATATACAGTGAATTAAAAAAATAATAAAAACTTAAGATACATAATTATGTAATTGAAATTCTATAAAATACTTTGTATAATTTTTAACACTGCCACTGTTTAAATGTTTAATATTTATTCCAGATTATTTTCTGTAATATTGTATAAGTACATAATTTTATTTTATACATATATTACGGTATTTTACAGGTGAACCATAAAATGCCGATATTTTGTTATTTTATTGACTTTATCAGCATGAAAGTTTGAAAATATTAAAGGGGGTAATGAAATATTTTTCATTTTTCCATCTACGTGCATACATATATATAAATATATATGAATGTATTAGATTATGTTTTTAATTACAAACATTGACATAATTTTTTAAAATTTATTAATGAAAAAAGCTTTGAATAATATTTTTGGAACACACAATAATTTCCTATATAGAATAGCTTTAGAGCGTGCTAAGTATTTTAGTTAATATATATATATATGTATATATATTAATACAATGTTCACGAACTTATATACATTTATGTATATTAAAATATAATTTTAATTTCATACATATCTATGGATATTATTTATAATATAAATGTAGAAGATTTTAATAGACGAAATTATATGCGATGTTATTTATTATTATGAAATATTTGAAGAGTTTTACTCGCCTTACGCCTATTAAGCTCTCATATTTTTGTCTTCATTTTATTGAATTGAACAGTAAGAATTGGAAATATTATTTTAATAAGAATTTTAGTATTCTCTGAATTGTTTGCCGTTGCAGACGATTGATTTTTTTTTGTGTGATTTAAAGAAGAAATCAAGTATTTAGTCACAGTTTTCCTATTAACTTAAAGTGTCTAGTCAATTAAAGTGAACATTAATAAAACAATTTTATGTTTGTTTGTTCTACTAAACCAAAAAAAAAAAATAAATAAATATGGTTTGCATTTGCACTACAATTGTACTTTTAGCAATTATTGCTCTGCTAATTTATTTGTATTTAACATGGAATTTCAATTATTGGAAAAAACGTGGATTAGTGGGGCCAGAACCAAAATTAATTGTTGGTACAACACCAAATATGTTGAAACAAAAAAGAAATGTTATTTATGATTATCAAGAACATTATAAGTAAGTAAAGAAGATTATTCCCTTATAGAAATACACAGATATTTGAATACGGGAGTTCGTTAACATTTTATCTTATTGTCATTACCTTATTTGCCTTATTCATGGATAAAAATATAATTTCAAAAATTTAGGAACTGAATTTCAATTTTAAAATTGAAAAAATAGTTTTCCGAGTATCCAGAATTTTTCGTATAAAACAAAATTATTTTGATTCTTACTTATTGAAAATTGTTTCGGATTTGGTGTGGGAACATTCAATATTTTTCTCAATATTTATTACATTTTAAATGCTTTAATATTTTTTCAGTTTTGAAGTTTAAAACGTATCATAAGGGAAACTGGTTTGTTTCATGGAAAACATGAACAAAAAACTTAAAATCAAAAAGAAAACTACAACAAAGTCCTTGCGACAGTATATCAGTTCGAAGTTTTTTTTCAGACATTTAAGATGTTAGAGAAAATTAATTGTATAACAAAGGTACTTAAAATTCAAAAAACAAAAAATAAGGTTACGACACGTTTGTTCTTTGGGTATTTTTATTTTATCCTTGATTACTTAGAAATCCCTTGAATTCTATGTTTATGTTTGTACTTATGGAAATGAATTATTTTAATTATGTGCCAATTCTAAATTAAAAGTTTTGGGAATATACATTGGTTTACCTTAAGCCATCTTTTGAAAGAATTAATGGCATACACGTTTTTTCAAAATCATTTGTACTTTGAAGTGTGGTTGCCTAATTTAAAATTTATGAATTGTCCCGCTGTTTCAACATAAGTCAAAAACATCATAAATATATTTATTTAGAAAAACTTTCAAAGAATCATTATTCGTATTAATTTCATTTAAAATTTGGAAAAGTTAGCAATTATTTTGAAAAAAGGTGCACATGCAAAATTTTTGCTGAAAGCCTACAAATATTACATTTTTTTTTTAACGCATTTTACGGTATTTTAAAATTTTTTAATAAAAATATTAAAAAAAAATATAAAATATTAAAGATGATTTACGGTATTCATATTAAAGATTAATACAAAGTTTCATTGACAGACAAATTTCCTTCTAAAATTGTAGTTAATTAAATGACGTATGTACATAATATAATGAATTAAAGACATTCGACAAACTTATATCTAAAATTTGAACTTGTCCGATTCAAAAAAATGGTTTGTAATGCAGCGCATTTAACTTCGAAAAGTGTGCTGTTTTCTTAAAAAAACAATTTTCTGCGAAATTTTAACTTACTTGTGAACAATTTTTCTTGTAAGGTTTATTTTAGTCCGGAGTAAGTGTATCAACTAACTATGCTTCTGCATTTGTGAAATTCAAAAATGCTTATGGTTTCGACACAATAAGGAGGCAAAAATAGTATGTTTACTAATTTTAGAAGCCACAACTTTTAAAAGGGTGGATCTTTAATTGGGTAGAAGTCGCATAAACCGACGTATGGACGAACACATAGATGGGTGGAAGGATAGAGGGTAGGTTCCCTCTTTTTTAATTTGTTCTGAAGTGTGTTACAAAATCTTAAAATATATCCGACCAGCCGACAGGAAACCTTTAGCCGAATATTACAATCAATGACGTAAATTTAGTCTGAATGTTTTTCAATTTTATTTTGTTAATTTATTTCACAATTTTGGTAAAAATATTCAGTGATAAGAATTTTCCACTTTTGTAATAAATTTGGAAAGTAAATTTTTTTTTATCAAATTAAAAATTTATATTAATTTGATAAGAAGGTCAGATTATTATTTACTCCTATGTATATTATTTACTTTTGGCGTACGTTATTTTGGATGACGTTCGTAGATCCTAAAATAAAAACTCATAGCAGCTTAAGATTTTATTGTATTGTCATAAAAAGTCCATTTTTTAGTTTAAAATAAGTACATCGCGATTAGATATAGAAGAATTAAATTGACCGGTGGTTTAAACTTTCTGTATTATATAATCGTGAATAACCTATAATATTTGACATTTTATGTTCAGTAAATTTCAAAGTAGAATTTCTAATTTCAATAATTCAAATGGTTAATGACTTCAGTTCCAAAGCAAACCTATTTGTTATTATTAAAACTGCAGAGATAACATTGTCGTTATTATACAATGCCTTTTAGAGTTAGCAAGATGTTTCTCAACGAAGCATATAAGCTCTATGTGATTAGAACGATTCTAATTTCGTCAGTTTCTCAATTATCACCAAGAACAATAGATTGCACTCATTTATAATAAAATTTTGAGCTAACAACTTATTAATTGGTTGATTAATTTGATTAGCCCCATACGTAGAAAAAATATGCAGAAAGCTATATAACAACATATACCATTTGTTAAAAGATCGATCCATTGGTTAGAATTAGGTAAAACTTTTGTTCCGAACTGCGTGCTAGATCTCAAGGGTTTCCGAGTTCGAGGGGTTTTAATGAATTTTTACGAAATTTTTACTTATCCAAGTTTTTTGGATTATAATTTCCATTCTGAAAAAGATAGAAACTTCGAACAAAGAGTTTCTGAAAGAGTCCTAGTAAAGGAGTTAAAATAAACCTTTTGCTTGATTCTGTATTTTATCTACCTGCAGAATACCAAGCTTTCGAACTTTAGGGAAAATCAAATTTTTAACTTGTTTTATTTTTTGAGTTTTTTATAGAATTTTGCCCAACTGTTTAAGACTTAATTTAAGGGCTCAAGCATTAAAATTTTTTTATGGTACAGAAAATATAGTACAATTAAATTCAATTTAATATTCCTTTATCAAAAAATTTACAAATTTCTCAAAACAAACATCAAATTCTCCTAAGAAATTCACCTCGTTCGGCAAAAATTTATACTTTTCTTCTTTCAAATCTATTTCTATTCAATTGCATATTTTAAATTAATTGTTTTACTGGAACTATCACATTATTTTTTATTAGTCCCATTAAAATATTTACATATTTATTAGCTTACTTATGTCAATACGATATAGTTTACAAACTCCATTTTGTAAAAAAAAAATTTAATTTTCCTATTAAACAAAAATTTTTTTTAATTAAAATAAATGTCAAAATTTGTATGGCATGACTTTAAAAAATCGCTCCAGCATAACTTCAAATGCCAAATGGTGTCCAGATTTCGAAAATATTTTTTTCAAATTTTTAAATTGCACCCAATGTGAGAAAAATGCATTTAAAAATTTCAAACCATATAGGTACCATTTCTTATAAAAACTGGCAAAAATAAAAAACTTATCAATTTTCTTTACCAAGAAAAGTTTCGAAAAAAATTTTTTGATTACTAGATTTTTTTTTGTTTTTTTTTTCAAAGATTTCAAAATTTTTAAAATCAATTTTTGTTTTTCAAATTAAAAATTTCTATAAAATTTCGTTTTAATTTTTGTTACATTTAAATAAAAACGCTAAGATTCTGACTTTTTTTCCAAATATTTTTCCAAAATGTCAAAGTCGAAAAGACTGACTCTTGTCATCAAAAATAGTTGATAATTAGTGTGCTTAAAATCAATAAAAATAAAAAACAGTGAAAAATAAGGCCTTTGAAATTTTCACTTAGAAATGGTTTTTGTGCTATATCTTCTGTACCAAAAAAATTTTTAATGGTTGAGCCCTTAAATTAAGGCTTAAATAGTTGGGCAAAATTCTATAAAAAAAATTTCAAGGCTTTAAAAATTTTGTTACGAAATTATCCAGTTAGAAAAAACTGAAAAAATAAAATAAGTCAAAAATTTGATTTTCCTTAAAGTTCGAAAGCTTGGTATTTCGAAGGTACATAAAATACAGAATCAAGCAACATGTTTATTTTAAGCCATTTGCTAGGCCTCTTTCAAAAACTCTTTGTTTGAAGTTCCCATCTTTTTCATAATGGAAATTATAATCCAAAAAACTTGTAAAAGTAAAAAATTTCGTAAAAATTCATTAAAACCCATCGAACTCGGAAACCCTTAAGATCTGGCACCCAGTCCGGAACAAAACTTTTAGCCATTTTCGATCTTCTAACCAATGGTATATGTTGTTGTATAGCTTTCTGAATCACCGTGTATATACATGGTACGTATGCATATTTAATCTTCGTATTTCTTTTACAGTAAATATAAAAAAACTGAAAAATTCATAGGAGGTTTTGGATTTGGCTCTGCTGAAATAATAATCTTAGCACCAGAAATGACGAAGGAAATTTATATCAAAAAATTTAAAAATTTCCATGATAATTATGGTTCCAAAGTAAGTGAGAATGTATTGCTTGAAGGAAACATGTACCAATTGTGTAACATTGTCCTTGATAGTGAAAAATATTCTTTGTATAAAACTTTTTAATTAAATCATTTATGTTCCGTATGTTTTTCACATTTTAGGACGTCAGGGAACAAGAACCCTTATTAGGTTTAAATCCATTCTTTTTAGGTGGACAAGATTGGAAAGAGAAAAGGGCTGAAATTACACCGGCATTAACTGTTAACAGAGTAAAATTACAATATTTTTTATAGTACTCTATAAAAAATATTTTTTTTTTTAAATTATTTGTAGATAAAAGCATCCTATCCTGTAATGCAAAATGTATGTTCAAAATTGGTTGACTACATTAAAAATACGATTAAAGTTGAAGGTAAAAACGTGGAATTTGATTGCCGAGATGTACGTAAATTAATTTAAAATTCATATTATTAATTTTATTGTATTAGGTTTCGAACATAATTTTAGTTAAGCCAGAGATTTGCTATACAAAATGTATCGGACTGTATATATGGGATTGATGCTAATGCCTTAGTATTGGATAAAAACAGTGAACTTTTAAAGCAAGCAAAATTATTAATGCAAGGAATATTTGATTTTGGTTTCGTTGCAATATTAGTTATGATGCTTAAATTAGAAAAATTGTGGACAAGACCATTAATAAAAAAAGAAACTCGTGATTTCTTCATAAATTTAATGCGTGATGCAGTTGAACTACGAAAGAAAACTGGACAGAATGATAGAATAGATTTTTTAAATTATTTAATTCAATTAAAAGAGAAAAAAGGATTAGATGATGTTAACTTACAAGCGCATTCGATAACATTCTTTTTGGATGGATTTGAGACAAGTTCTATGGTTTTAGCTCATGTCATGTTAACAGTAAAAATTTCATTTTTTATGTATGAATTTTTTTTAAAATCATTTTTTAAAATTACTATTTTTCTTTCAGATTGGTCGCCACAAAGAAGTTCAAGATAAATTGAGAATGGAAATCGAAAAAAATTCATCTGAAGACGGTACTATTAGTTTTGAAAAACTTCAAGAATTACCATATTTGGATCAGTGTGTTAACGGTAACATATTGTTGAATATATAGGAATATTTGTATGTGACGATTTCTATCTATATGAACTATAAAATGGCTTTAAAAACTCACAAAAAGAAAGTTTCAGAATCTTCAATTTCGAGAAATTGAAGTTTTGATATTTCACTGATAAGTGAAAATTTGTTTTTCTAAGTCTTATATTCACCGTATCTTTTTCATTTCTAAGAAATGTATAAGGACAAAAGAATATCTTCTTTTATAATTTTATTACTTCGGAGTGTATCTATTTAAATTCACAAATATGAGTAACATGTTGCATGCAAGAATATCTGCTTTTATTCTATGATTTGTTTAATATATGACATAGTGATGCAGAATACACAATTACAAATTTTGATATTATAAGAGCCACATTAATAACAACACATTTTAAATTTTTAGCTATAACCTTCCTATATTTTAGAAACATTACGAATGTATCCACCAGTGGGTTTGACTATGAAATTGTGCGTTGAAGATACTGAATTGGAAAATTCAAATGGAAGAAAAGTTTTGGTTAAAAAAGGAATCCCAGTTACAATGCCAATTTATGCTTATCATTATGATGAAGACATATATCCAAATCCAAATAATTTTGATCCAGATAGATTTAGTGCAGAGAATGGTGGTGAAAAAAAATATAAAGAAATGGGAGCATTTTTACCTTTTGGTGATGGTCCAAGAGCTTGCTTAGGTATAGATGCTTTTACAATTACAAAGAATATTTTTATTAAAAATACATTTTTTTAATATTTTTTAGGTCAAAAATTTGCTTTAGCACAAATTAAAATTTGTGTTAGTGAATTGGTACGTAATTTTGAAATAAGTATTAGTGATAAAACACGTAAAGATAATTTGTTGGATCCAAAAAGTTTTCTGTTATTTTTGGATGGTGGTATTCATTGTAAATTTACTGAATTGAAAAACTAAAATCAAAAATATTTTTTTGGGCAAAAATAAATGTTAATTGTTGTATTAAAAAAAAGAAGTAAATTTTTATAATAAAAATTAATTGTTATTTTACAATTTGTTTGTACATTACTGAAAATAATTAAAATATTTATACTTTGTATACTGCAAAAGAAGATTAATATGAATTCATTGGCCTATATCTAATATTTTTTTCTTTTTAAGTAAGTTTTCCTGTGTAATATTATTCCATACAAAAGTATATCTTTACATTTTAATTAGTGAAATAGATCTATATTCAATATATGGGGTTGTTTATATACAAAGAATTATAGTTAACATTTTTTTCATAGAAGAAATTTCAATAATTACTATAATTTTTTTAAAAGAAGGAAATAAAACAAAAAAATTCAAAATCGCAAAAGAACAAATCATTTTTTATTTTTTGTTAAATATTAGTAAATATTTTACTTATGTACATAACAAAAAGCTACTTCTAAAACCGAAGCTAAAGTAATTACAATAACTCTTTATCTCAGTGTTTCATAGGATACGTTTGTGAATATGTTGAATAGTTTTCCAGATTTCCAATAGTTTTCCAGAATAGATTTCCAGTTTCTTAGCCAAGCACGAGAGAAAGTACAATAAAAGTCCAAATCTGATTGTAATTAGAATTAATGCTACAATTACAAATAATGCTTACAATATGTTCAAGTAAAATTATTAGTTTTTTGACTAATAGTCGAGATATCTATTGTAATATGGTCACTATTGAAATTATCTGTGCTTTTCATTATATCAGATAAAAGCACTATTCAAAATAATCATTTTATTAAATTAAGTTCAACAAAAACTGATGTATGCTGTTCTTTTTAGAGGGTTTCTACAATAAAATTACTCACTTTCAACTAAATTTCGTTATTTTTCGGTATATGATAACAGCAATAGGTATTATAATGTAAAAATAAAAAAAAATCGGCTGAACTTACCAAAGCCTTAAGCAAAGCTGGCTAAAATTTTATATTCTTCTATAGGAAGAATGAGACATTTGTGCACAAACTCGAAAAACAGTTTTTGTTCTTGAAAATTACATTAATACACAAATTTAATGACTTTATTATTGACTTACTTTTAATTATTCACTTACTTTCTTCTCTCCCGGTAAATAATTGGATGACAGGAATACATTTTCCTATTTTTAATCGTTATAATAGAACCAAAATATTGAAAGTTAATTTTTTGTAAACATCATGTTTATATCTTTTTTACTATTAATAGGCACAGTTTCGAGCGTAAAACTTACATAATTCGATTAAATGGTTTCTTACTGATGTGACGAATGTCCAATTATATACAAGCTCTATAATAAATACATTGTACGTATGATATCATATGTTTGTAGGTATGCATGTAACAATGTAATTGGCTTTTGAAAATGAAATCATAGAAAAAGCTTTTTTGATGAGAAAGCTTAAAAGTTTATAATTGTTTATATTTTTTTTTTTTGAATAAATTGTTTACCAAAAATAAAAACGTAATTGATATTATTCTTCAGTTACTATATTTGATTACTTGATCAATGTAACGTTTAGTTTATAAGCACATCTATTCGTCGGCAATAAATTTAAATTTGCTTTATCTAAACAATATATTTTAGTAGAAATTATTTTCTTCCCTAAGTAACCATTTAGATAGTTTTTACTCTACTTTAGTATAACAAATTAGGTGAATTAGGACTCAAGAATACAGAATATTCCTAAACATTTCAAGAAATTTAGTACTTACTTATATTGCTTAAATTATAAAAATTTTGCGTTTGAACGCGATTACACAGTGCTTTTTTCAAATCATTATTAAGAGTGCCTCTGTACACCTCCTCGAGTTTAACTTTCTACTAAGTTCCTGAACAAAAACACACAGAATGCAAGAAGATTACGCTTTAAAAGTGACTTTCAATACGATGTGAATATTTCTTAGCAAATATACGTTTAAAACATTCTTTGAATCTTACGTCACATAAAAATTAAAAACGATTTCGGCTGTATTGAGTAAAGTTTAACTCAAAATGAGAAAAAATAGAGTTGACCTTGTCAACTCTGTGATAACCATACGAATTTGTTATCCTATGTGCGAATAAATATACCATAACTGACTATAGGACAGGCTATGACTTTAAGTTGCTGTATTACAATATTAATTTATGCAAAATTCAAATTTTGTACTTTTCAAAACACCGTGTGTGCCAAACTACTATTGAAGTTGTATGGCAGCTACCAGAAAGAGCCAAGAAATTTTAACGAATTTTATCAAGCACATCGGCCCTACCAATATATTCTATCTTGCGAAATTTCAATACCACAGCTTTTATAGTTTCTAAGATATAGCCAAATAATTTTTGAAGTTGTATGGCAAGTACCAGAAGGAGTCAAGTAATTTCAACGACTTTTATCAGACACATCAGCCGTACTAATATATTCGTTTGTGTGAAATTTCAATACCATAGCTTTTATAGCTTCTGAGATATAGTCAAATAACGTTTGAAGTTGTATGGCAGGTACCAGAAGGAGCCAAGTTCAACAACTTTTATCATACACATTGGTCCGGCTAATATACTTATTTGTGCAAAATTTCAATACCACAGCTTTTATAGTTTCTAAGATATAGTCAAAATAAATTTTGTTGTTGTATGGCAGCTACCCGAACCAACATCCCGGTTATATCTAATTTATATAGGGTTCCTGGTATTTACTATAATAAATCATTTGTGAAAATATGGTTAACTTAGCTCAATTAGCTTTTGAGTTATTGTTGGAATGGGCGGACGGACGGACGGACAGACAAAGCTTAATCAACTCAGAATTCGACGCTGATCAAAAACATACACTTGAGTCTATATCTAACCCCGTTATTTGTTAGCGTTACAAACGCTAAGAAATAATATGGTAAGGCAAATTTAGTATACCCTTCGAACATACGTATGTACGGGTATAATAAATAAAACAATGAAATAGCAATTATGAATAGAATCATTCTTTAAACAATAAATTTCGGACCCTTTACTAATTTTTATAATAAGATAATTAAAATAATCAAAACTATACATACATATGTACGTTCTATTATCTGCAAATATTCAATCAGGCTGGTATGAAACGTATATGAATTTTTCATGAAATTTTTGCTACACAAGTATTCCATAATTACCGCTGCGATTTATTTTTATTTGTAAGTTTGTATAGGTTTTGGTAGCCTCTTTATTCACCTTGATTTTGTAGAAAATCAAATAAAACCTTATAGGAATTAAATAGAAATTACATTTAATCCAAATTTCGGTAAATTCGTATGATAGTCGTGGTCAATCAATATCTTGTTGAGAACGCATAGATTTGCAAGAGAATTTGACTTTAATTACTTTGAATGGTTCTCAGTAAAAGAAATTAAAAACATTTTCTACCATGTTTCCCTGCTTCTTGATATCACCTTCTTTCTTGATGATGATAAGTAGAGTTAGTTGTTTAAAAACATTTGCTTCATAAATATTAATATGAATAACAAAACTTACATAATAATTCTCGTTAAATTTTCACTTAAAATTTGTATATTCCCATATTTATATATTTATATAGAGATATCAATTTATTTACTTTTTTAACAACAGACATGAGACAAAAGGTCATTATCTCCTCTTTCCAATTCTAAGAAATCTTCAGAGAGCATTAAAATTGTTATTGTAAACATCTAAAATCATCGACATGGATATATATAAGTACATGATTTTTGTTAATATGCTTTCTTGTTATTTAAAGCCATGTAAATTAAAGGGTAACATTAACATAAGTATGCACATATGGACTATTAGTTAGTGTTCTCTTTATTTAAAAAGTTTTTTCACCAGAGTTGATTGTGTTAATATTGTTTGAAAAGTAAAAAGAGAGTATAAAAGAGTACAGGACAGGTGTAAAATCTGAAACTTTATTTATAGCATTAACGTTGTTGATATTGTATATATACATATATTACTATTAAAGGAAGAAGTAAGCTGCCGCTATACTCATGTATGCAGAAAGTTTTATTGGTGTTAGTTTCGACTCTTCTTTAACGTAAATAATAATTTTTATAAATTCACAAAATAAAAGAATATGTTTTCTCTCTTTAAATTGATAAATGAAGAAATTCTTTATATATATGTATGTACATATATAAAGAAAAAATTTACACCTTTCGTATTTCATAATGTTGTCAAATACGAAAATTGAAGAATCTACGTTAAAATAATCAGTTGTGCAAAAAACTTAAGCAATTAATCAATATAAAGAAAAATTAAAAAACCTGTGTACACCTCTACAATATCAACCAGATACTGCTAGTATCAACGTTTTATAATATAGAGCTACTATCGCATTAATTATTTCTCTTATCGTCAAATAACTAATACTTGTGTTACCTCATTATATTTATGTATTGTTATGCATTCAGAATATTTTATTTTGTTCGTCGATCTCAAAAGAGCGTCAGTTTAATATTATACTAACATTGTTTACTTATTTCTTACATAAAATACTACTCATATTGAAGGTTTATAAAATGTAAACCGAAATTAATAATAACAATAATAATAAAAACAAAAATACAACGCCTATTACAAAAAATTTTTTTACTTTCCAGGTCTCAATAAACTTTTATAAAAAAAAATTATTTAGTAAAACCTTTGCAGTTCTTGAGTGAACTAATCGATCCATTGAAAAACACAAATAATATTTAACAATATTTTTATATAAGATATGGCAATACTTTGTACTTCATTAGTTCTTTTAGCAGTTATTGCAATTTTGGGATACATTTACCTTACATGGAATAATAATTATTGGAAAAAGAGAGGAATTAAAGGTCCTAAACCAAAACTATTTTATGGAACCCAACCAAGTTTAATAACAGGAAAACGGAATGCAATCTATGATTATTTGGAACATTATAAGTAAATATTGTTATTTGTATTTATATATGTATGTATATAAAAACATATGTACATATTATTATTGGATAAAGATAAATATTAAAGAATATAAAATATATACATATGTATGTATGTATGTATATAATTTAAAATGCGATCTAAAATATTAAAAGTGTTTACAAATATGTGGAATAAATAATTCAAAGATATGTGGGTGCATTTAAGCCGTGGGATGTAAAAAAGGTTTTGTTGCATAATAAAAGAATTTTTTTTCAAAATTAAATTGATATTCGATTTATTGCACAATTTGAAATAAATAATCTTAAGTGAATTTAATTTTTACATAATTAAATATATTTTCTTTTATTAAATAACTCACGTTTAATTTTATTCAAAATTTTTATATAGAAAGAAAATTGCCCTTATTATTCTTAGTTTGATTGGGACATTTGTATTTATTATGCATATTCATATGTATGTATGTATGTAGAAATGCAAATTTTGATGAAGTAAAGAATACTTAGAATTTACGCCGACTAATTGAAAACATGATTTACAATATTATAGTGAAGCTTTCTCTGCATTTTCTATGATTCGAATGAAAAGTAGTGATAATAATTGAAATTTTTATTAATTTTAAAGCCGATAAAAATAAAGAAGTGTGTTTTGACATTTTAAAAAAAAAAAAGATAAAAATAATATTTTATACCTTATCAAAAGCTTGTTATCATCAAGTTAAATTTTTTATTTAATTTTTTATTACAATAAAGGGCTTTTTTATGGAAAGTATAACGTATATATGAGTTTATTGCTATAATTTGTTAAATTAATTTATTTTTGTTTTCTGTTCGAAATTTTCGAATAGACACATAATTTGTATATGTATTCTATTACAATTTTGATTAGAAAAATTATTTAAAATCCAAAAGCTCTTCTGTTATCCATAGAACGTTAATGTCAAAAGTTAGAATTCAAAATTATCATCCATATTCTGTTAGTCGCATCATTTGAGGTGATTTGATTTTATTCAGAAAATTACTTCTAAAGTAACAACTTATCACGTCAAGTGAAGCGACCTACAGAGTGTGGGTGTAGAGAAAAATATATATATATATATATACTACTATTAGTTTAGACTTCTTAGATATTAATTTAGTGACAAGGAATAAGTTATATAATTATCAAGGCACTATGAACATCTTTTTTAACTGAAAATAAATACTTATATGAACCCTGATATAAGAAGTCTTAATAGATTTCGAGTAAAAAATTCTGTTAGTGCTGAAAGTAAAACCTCTGAAAAAATAAGAAACTTATAAAATTATTAAAAATTTCTTTCAAAAAATTTAACATTTAATTAGATAACATTTTTTACTTTTGCAGCAAATACAAGGCAAACAATAAATTCATTGGAATTTTTACTAATAGAACACCTGGATTATTAATTCTGGCACCAGATTTAGCCAAAGAAATTTATACTACAAAATTTCGACAATTTCAAGATAATTTTTTTTCCGATACTGTAAAGTATTTTATACAAGCAAATGACTGAAATTTAAATTTGATTGTTTATAACATTTTAGTTTGATAGCAAAGTAGAACCATTATTTGGTCTAAATCCATTTTTACTTAAAGGACAAGAATGGAAAGATAAAAGAGCTGAAATAACTCCTGGGTTAACAATAAGTCGAGTAAGAATTATTTTGAAATTCAATTAAATATTCAATAAAAATTTGGATCTAAAAGTGCAATATTTTGTATATTTTGTAATATAAAGATTAAGGCTTCTTATCCAGTGATGCAAAAAGTATGTTCACAAATGGTTGATTTTATTAAAAATAAAAACAAAATTGAAGGAAAAGGTTATGTTTTTGACTGCAAGAAGGTAATTTGAGTAAATTTAAAGTTTAATAAATTTTTGATTTAAAAACAATTAATTTTTTTTTAAAATTCTAGTTAACTCAACGTTTTACAATACAAAATGTATCAGATTGTATTTATGGGATTGAAGCCGGGGCATTTGATTTAAAAAATGATAGTGAACTATTAAAACAAGCGAAGAATTTAATTAATGGACTTTTTGAAAGTCTTGGAATTATGTTTATTATAGAACTTGTTCCACTATTAAAAAATATATGGAAAGTTTCATTTATTAAACCGGAAGTAAAAAAGTTTTTTACAACATTGATGCGAGATGCTGTTGAACTTCGAAAAAGAAATCAAACAGATAGAATAGATTTTTTGAATTATATTATGCAATTGAAAGATAGAAAAGGATTAAGTGATATTGAGCTACAAGCGCATTCCGTTACATTTTTCCTTGATGGATTTGAGACTTCATCAACAGTCTTATCTCATTCGTTACTTTGTGTTAGTGTCTTTTTTATATTAATTGCGATTCATTTGAATTATGTAATTTTAAAGAGTTTTGTTTTATTAATATTTTCGAATGATGTATCTTATTATTACTATTAGTGAACCATAGTAGCTATTGCCTTGAATTTTTCGCTTTCAGAAAAGAATTTTAACTTTTCTCCGAAATTATAACTTGAACCTTAAAACACTAATTCAATTATTATTAAATTATTGAATTGCTTTTAAATTGACCACAGTACATAATATTTTAAGTGCTTCAATCAAACCAATAACCTTTTGATTAAATTCATTTTCTTTTTTCGTGTTCAAATTGAATGAAATTTATTGAAATAACCTTAAACTTTTATTACACAAACAAATAAATAAATTAATTTTTATTTTAGATGGGACGGAATAAAGTTGTGCAACATAAATTGAGGCAAGAAATTGAAAAACATTGTGACGAAGATGGAACTATAAGCTTTGAAAAAATCATGGATCTAACTTATTTAGATATGTGTGTTAATGGTAAAATGAAAAGAGCAAATATAACTGCGATGAAGAGCAAGAAATTTAAAATTAAAAAATTATTGTTTTTTTTTTTTTTTAAGAAACATTAAGACTTTTTATGCCTGGTGGTTTTCTTCAGAAAGTTTGTACAGAAGATACTGAATTAGTTAATTCGGATGGAACTGTTTTAAATGTTAAAAAAGGAATGGGAGTCACACTTCCATTATATTGCTATCATAATGATGAAGAATATTATTTTAATCCTAATGAATATAATCCTGAAAGATTTAGTCCTGAACTTGGTGGAGAGAAAAAATATCGAGATATAGGTGCTTTTATGCCTTTTGGTGATGGTCCGAGAACATGTTTAGGTAATTTTATAAATATTATACAATTGGTTTTTAAACTAAATATGCATTTTATATATAGGTCAAAGATTTGCTTTAACACAGATCAAAATTGCATTATGTGAATTGGTTAGAAATTTCGATATTGATGTTGATGATAAGACAAGAAAAGACAATTTACTTGATCCAAAAAGTTTCATTTTGTGTTTGGATGGTGGTATTTGGTGCACTTTTAAGGAATTGAAAAATTGAAATTGATTTTTATTCATTTATTATTAAAATATTTTGTGTTAACACGAATGTTTTGTTTAAAATATTTTACAGAAATTATAGAAATTAAAATGAAATTTTTTAATAATAATTTTTTAATAATTTAAATAATAGTTTTTTAACAGATTTTTAATATTTATTTTATTAATTATCTGTTCATTTTTAGAAATTGTTATATAATTATTCTAATAATTTTGTTATATTAATAAATTGTCATTTAAGATTTGTCACAGTAAATTTCACACAAATGAATGATTTTGAAATAAAATCTCCCAAAATTGTCATCTATTTAAAAAAGTAAATGAGTATTTTCCCATACTTAATTACAATTTTATTATTATTGAAGAATTTCGAATATACCCGATCTTGCAAAGGATCGGGTATTGCCAAATACCTTACTTAATTTTCATACCACCTTTTTGGGAAATACTTTTTTTTTGCGTTTTGACTGGGTGTCTGGGAATTTTTTTTTCCAAAGAGAGAATAGATAAAGCAGATTTAATAATTTTAATGAGCAATGAAAGTATAAAACACAATGTCCAGATTTATAGTCTTATTGCTTTGTGTACTATGCAAGTAAATTAATGGCATGACATTACTAAAATAAAGCTTTCACATTATTTCTAAGCGTGCAAGTACATAGAAGGTGTAATCTTTTCATATTAACTTTATGAATAAGAATAATTGAAAGCAATTTGAAAATATAATAATAAATAATACGCAGTGTACAACTACAAATGTAATTTTTTAATGAATAATAATTTGGGAAGAACATTTTTATAAAATTTTGTATTTGTTTTGATGAAATTTTGTTTTCACAATTTAATGATGATCTTTTTATATAAAATATTAAAATACTTATAGTGAAATAGGTATTTATACATTTGAGCCACATTTTATCTCGTATACCTTATAACTGTATTCTTCAATACAGTTTAATAGTAACGTTATATGTGCTCTCTACAGTATGCTTCAGCAATTTGCTTCTTTATCTGTCCGCGCTATTAAATTTTGGTCTTTTTTAAAAAACAAACTTCAATCTACAATTGTGTTAACTATTTTATAAGATTAAATTTTTGAAATATTATGGAAATTCAATTTTATTTTCCAATTTATAAATACCTACATAAGCTGCTATTTAATATTTATGCATACGTATATATGTTGCAATTGTTACATTAATTTTGGGTGAATAAACACCCTTGACTTTTAGAATGTAGTAGAAAAATTTTAAAAACAGTTTTGAACAATTTTGGAAACTACATTTTAAAAATCCCGCGTTGTATGAGACATAACGTTTTGTGATATACTCGTACATATATTTAAACAGATCACGATATTAGGCTTATTACCTAATTGTTTCAATCAACTTTTCATTGTAAAAAATTAAAAAAAATAACTATTAAATAACAATATCTGGCGGCGTTCAATCGTAGTGAAAATTATTAAACTTACACATTTTCAAAAAGAAGGTACCCTAGAGTTGGTTTTGCCAACTTTTAAATTTTAATTAACGAATATGAAAAATATTTAAAATGTTTTGTTCTAAAGCAGTCTAGATTTAACGTTCGCGTTGTTAAGAACTATTTGAATTTTTGGGAAATATAACGATAATATTGGTTATTTTTGTGCTTAAAAATGTTCCCGATATTTATTACCTTAATACTTTTAACATTAGTTTTAATGTTATTGTATGTTTATTTTACATGGAATTTCAATTATTGGAAAAAACGTGGCGTTAAAGGTCCCAAACCGAAATTATTTTTTGGAACCCAACCCAGTGCTATTACACAAAAACGGAATATTATTTATGACTATCAGGATCATTACGAGTAAATGCACAATATTATTAAATAGAGATTTTTAGTTCTCGCAGATATATATGTATATATATATCTGCGTATATATATATATATGCACATATTTATATAATTAATCGTGAATTTAAATTGGTAAATGTTATATGCCAGTATCTTTAGAAAGATTCAATTGTTATATTGAAATCCTTTTATAAAATTTTGAAGGTGCTATTAGAGAAAAGTGATTTTCCAGAAATTTTAAAATTTCGTAAGTTGAACCGTTGTCAGACCCATTTGGAAATTGAATTGTTGATTAGTGGGCAAACAAATTGTTGATTTGTTAGTTATTCAAAAGGTTTTTAAATGACCAAAGATGGAATTGTATAGTTTTTCGATTATTGATAGGATTTTGGAGGAAATAGTAAAAGATATAGTTAAAATGTGGGAAATATAATAAAAAAATGAAAAATCCAATTGAGAAAATGAAGAAATAATTATGTAATACGAATTTCAAAATTTCAAAGTTGTTTTTTGCAATGTACATTCAATATAATTGAAATTTTTAATATTTTCATTTATAATATTGCTTTTTTTTTAGTAAAACCTAATTTTTTCCTTTAAAATTCAATCACAAATTGTGACTTCGGTATCCTTAAGGATACTAAAAATTTTTAATAGCAGAAATAAGACGACTGTTTGACTCGGCGTAAGCTTGCGAAGGGAATGAAGTATTAGTGAGAAAAATATTAAAAAGAACGCAATTTCTGACGAGAAAGCTGTAAGCTATGCAATTGTTATTGAAAAAATTTCTAAATCTCTTAATAGTTCTTGTCTTTCTCATAATGTATATAATTTTGATATTCTCGTCATACAAACTATACATTGTATAGTCACAAACTATAATAATGATAAGTTTTAAGATGGGAAAATAGAAAAGCTGTAATTAAATTAATGTTGACTTGCTTCATTGTTATTAATGTATATAAAATATTATCTGTGATGCTAAGATTACGTAAGAGTATGTTGAAGAAAACAAGAATATGAATGTTGCAAAATACTATACGAATTAAATGTAATTAAAGTACGATGTATCCACAGAAAAAAATCAAATCTTAGGCTGTTGTTAACTTTGAGGGAAGCTTACATTTTCTTGTTAATGCATAATTTGTCAAATCCTGTATAATAATATATTTGATATGTTATTAAAAATATTAAATTTAATTGAAAAACCATATTTTAATAGATATTTCGTGTTTAACGTCGTTCTAACAGAGAACTAAAAAATATTGGTTTGAAAGAAAATATTAACTTACAAATTTTTGCTTAATGGACAATAATTATAGTTGAGCCAACTTGAAAATAATCTTTAAGCAAAATATTAATTGGTCTTAAATTCAAATTAATTATTATTTGTTGTTAAATTAAAAATTAATTAAATAATTTATTTTAATAATTGCTATAATTCCGATTATTAGATAAGCGTGTTCTTATGCTAAGAGCCACTAGTGAATAGCAATTTTTAGAACTTTATCAATAAATAGAATGATAGAAAAAAGAAAAGACAGAAAATATTTTAATTTCAAAAACAATATTTTGATTATGTGAATTGTTAGTAATTTTTAACTTAATTTAAATATAATTTTGAAATTAAACAAATATTGTAAGATTGTACTCAGTATATACCATAAATTTTAGTTCGCCTGATCTTCATTCTATTATCAAGTCATATTTTGAAATTTAAATTGAGATAAGATTGTTTACTTCTACTTTTATCGATTAGATTATATTCCTATGGAATAATTGAAATAAGAAAACAACTTTTTTGTCTTAATTCAGAGCTCATGGTTGAATCTTATATGAGAAACTAAATTCGTTTATTATACCCGTACGAACGTATGTTCGAAGGCTGTACTAAATTGGCCTTACCGTTTGTAACTCTAAGAAATAATGGTCTGAGATATAGACTCAAGTGTATGTTTTTGATCAGCGTCGAATTCTGAGTCAATTTAGTTTTCAATGTCCGTCCGTCCGTCCCAGCGATATCTTAAAAACCACCAGAGTTAAGTTCACCAAATTTTTACAAATGATTTATTGTAGTAAGTGCCAGAACCTTATTTAAACTTAACCGGGGTACTCGTTCGGGTAATTTATTTGACTATATTTTAGAAACTATAAAAGTTGTGGTATTGAAATTTCGTACAAGTAAATATTAGTAGGGCCAATGTGTTTAATAAAAATCGTTGAAATTATTTGGCTTTCTGGTAACTGTCATACAAGTCCAAAAATTTTTTGGCATCATTTCAGAAATTATTGGAATTATAATATAGAAATCCCGTGGAATCAAGTGTATGATAAGGGCTGTTATGTGTGATAAAAATCATTCAAATTTCTTGACTCGTTGTGCTAGCAGCCATACAACTTCAGTAGTAGTTTGGCCATATCTTAGAAAATATTGAAAACTCAGTACTGAAATTTTGCATAAATTAATATGGTAATATGGTAACTTAAAGTTATATTCTGTCCCATAGTCTGCCATAGCTGACTCGCGCATAGGATAACAAATTCGTACGGGTATCATAGATTTGAGACGGCTAGCTCTATTTTTTCACGTAATACAATTATAATTTCATTTAAAAGCGAAAATATTAGAACTTTTTTTATTTGAAATTTCATTCAAAAGTATTAAACATTTTTGACATTTTTATATTATTACAGTAAGTTTAAAGAAACTGAAAAATTTATTGGAGGTTTTACAACCCGTACACCCGAACTTATAATTACATCACCAGATATTGCTAAACAGGTTTTTGTTTCAGAATTTCGAAAATTTCAAGATAATTACTTTTCTCATCTTGTAAGTATTTATATATGATTTTTTATGAGTTTTTTAATTAAAATATACAAACGAATTGAAAAATGTTTTTTTTTTTTTGTTAAAGTTTGATGCGAAGTCAGAGCCCATTTTCGGATTAAATCCATTTTTCCTTAAGGGACAAGAATGGAAAGACAAGAGAGCTGAAATAACACCAGCTTTAACTACAAATAGAGTAAGGCTACATATTTTAATCTAAGTTTAGTTTTGTCGCTTTCACAAATTGATCCATGAATGCATGGTATTTTTTATTCATGCCTCTTGCATATAGGTACAAATTAGCAAGAAAGTTCAATGTTTATCTTATGTAAAAAGCATAAAATATTATATTTATTAAATTTAATATACTTTTAGATAAAAGCATCCTATCCAGTAATGATGAAAGTGTGCCAAAATATGGCTGATTTTATTAGAAATAAAATTAAAATTGAAGGAAAAGAATATGTTTTTGATTGCAAAGAGGTATTCTAATTTTACTTTGAACGCAAAAATAATTTTTTTTTTCTAAAAATCGAATCATATTTTATTAAAATCGTCATCAAAAACTACCACACAGTTAGCACAACGTTTTACAATCCAAAATGTTTCTGATTGCATTTATGGCGCTGATGCAGGGGCCTTTGAATTACAAACTACAAGTGAAATTTTAAAGCAGGCAACGAATTTAATTAATAATTTATTAAGTAATTTTAATATTTACTTTATATTGGCTTCTATACCATTATTGGGAAAAATATTGAATAAACGATTAGTTGAAACTGAAGGTGAAACATTTTTTACAACTTTAATGGGAAATGCAGTTGAAGTTCGAAAAACATCAAGTCAAACAGATAGAGTTGATTTTCTTAATTATCTCATACAGTTAAAAGAAAGGAAAGGATTAACTAATATTGAATTACAAGCTCATGCAATCACATTCTTTCTTGATGGATTCGAAACATCAGCTATAGCATTGACTCATACCTTGCTTTGTGTAAGAAATATTTATTTGATAGGTGCAATTTTCACATATATGTATAATATATTTGCAAATATTTAATTTTAGATTGGGCGAGATAAAGATGTTCAAAATAAATTAAGGCAAGAAATTGAAAAAAATTCTTTCGAGGATGGTATGATTAATTTTGAAAAACTTTTGGAGCTGCCATACTTAGATCAGTGTATCAATGGTAATATTAAAATCAACAACAATTTTCTGTTAGAATTCTATACAAATTTATGCATTTTTGGATATTTAAGAGGCTCTAAGAATTTTCCCGCCAGCAACTTTTACTCAAAAAGTTTGTACCGAAGATACAGAACTGATTAATGGGGATGGAAGCATTGCTAATATTGAAAAGGGTACACCTGTAACAATACCAATATATTGCTTTCAAAATGATGAACAATATTACCCCAATCCATCAAAATTTGATCCTGAACGATTTAGTCCTGAAAATGGTGGTGATAGAAAATTTAAAGATATGGGCGTTTTTATGCCATTCGGTGATGGTCCAAGAACTTGCTTAGGTGAGAATATTCTATTCAAATATAAGAAAAAAAATTATTAATTTGCTTAAAATTTTAGGTCAAAAATTTGCTTTAACACAAATTAAAGCATGTTTGTATGAGCTGGTAAAGAATTTTGAGATCGGTGTCAGTAGCAAAACTAGAAAAGACAATGTACTGGATCCAAAAAATTTACTATATTTATTGGATGGTGGAGTTTGGTGTACCTTTAAAGAATTGAAGAATTAAAATATCTTCGCTTACATGCTTGTTAATTAAGTCTTTATTGATATATGTATAAATGTTGCTTGATTCTACGTACATATAAATTAATAAAAACTTTTGGTTACGCTTAAGCATTTTCAAATTGAATTCTTTAATGGGCTCTAAAGTTAACAAGGGGGGCAGATATAATCATAAATCTAAAATACGTAAAGTGCATTATAAGTTAAAAGAATACAAAGTAGCATTAGTGGAAAAATTTAAATTTAACCCTTTGTGACCCCAAATATTTTTTACGATGCAGTTATCTAATTGAGTAGTTATTGTAGAATTATCTATGCAGTGGCATAGCTAGCATTACTGTAATATTGAAGTTAGGATATATCTTTTGGTTTAATATAAACAACGTTTTACAACAATATTATCCCAAGATCACTTGAAAATTTCCGGAGTTTTAATGGGATAATATGAATATACATATTTTAATATCATACATCATATTTAAATTATATAAGAACAAAATAAAATTTCATAAATGAAACTTATGATTATAGCAATCAAGTAATTTAATTTGATTGCAACATTTTTGTGTTCTATTTTTCTTGTTTTGTTTAAAATATACCTGCATATACCTACATACATACATAAATTTATCTGCCTTTTATATTAAATGATAGATGTTTAATTTAATGGGGTAAAATTTTATTAAGTGAAGTAACAAAATTACAGTATGAATGTAATTTGGGTAGCATTATAAAACTCGCCGCCCGTTTAAGAGTACTGAAGATTTTATTTACTGTTAATTTTAGATTGGTGGTACTTACACGTTTACGGTAAGATCTTGTTGTTGCTTGGCGTTTCTTAAATATAATCATATAGATAAATTAAATTTTGCTTTTCTATTTTTTCTCGAAAAAGATGAATGCATTAAAATTTCTTAATTTGATATATGAAGCTACTAATACTAAAATTTAAATATTCAAACTTTATATTAGGATTTTCTTTCATTCCTTATTGACTTGTGGAACAAATTATATATTTTACATTTTACTTTAACTGATCGTGATGAAATCAAGCTGAAGAAATCATTCACTAATGGATAAACAAAAATTTTAATGAAATATTTGAAAGTATAACAGATTATTGATTTTTGATCGATTATTGAAATATATTATTGATTGTCTTATATATAAAATGAAGAAAATAACATGAAAATCCAAATTTTTTCACAAAAACCACACTATTGGTTAACATTGAATTATTTTTAGCTAAGTCAAAAGTATTATTAGAATTTATTATCCCCTCAAAACGTTTTTAGTAAATTTATTTAATCATTAAATCATTATGATATTCCAATTAATTTTGATGATATATTTTTAGTATTGCTATAGTTAAGAATAGTTTTTTAATCTGTTTTAGAGTCGAGTATAATATATGAATTAAGATAAAGTCTACACAACCTAACGTATTTGTCACAATTGAGAAAAACTCGCAATTAGTTCAAACAAGTGGAACAGAAAAACAGTTCAGTAAAATAAAACTTACTCGTATTATTCTATCATTATTATATATTATGTACAAGTACATATTTCGATATTAATTAGTTTCATTATTGTAACAAAACAGTTGAAAAATAAAATGCTAAACTCTACAATCAATTATATATAAAGATGAAACTATGTAATATAACACTTTAACAATTTAAGCTAATTGAATAATGAAAACAATAGAAGTTCTATTAAAATACTTTTTTTTTTATTATCATACACTTTTGCATAAATTTAGGAGTTAATTTAAGTGGAAGGTAACTGTTATATTTTCTCTTTTACAGAAAAGCTTTTTATAAATAAAACTATTATAGTGCGGAAGAAATAGAAAAGTAACTATCTACATCTACTTGACAATATTAAGTTTAGATTTTTGAAGACATAATTTGAAATGAAAACTGGATGAACATATTTTTTCTGAAAATTTTTTCAAAATGTAGTGAAGACTCATATAAATGATTGGAATTGTTTTATATAAATTTATTTCAGATTTGTATTACAAAAAACCTTCGAAAAAGCATATTCGCAGCAGTCTTCCTAATTTTTATATCGAATGTTAGTTTCGATTGAATTTTACTGAAGATATTATTAAATGAAATACACATATTTTTAAAATTATTTTTATATAATAAATTTGAAAATCGAACTTTTTTGAGGGTATTTTTGTGACTGAAATGAATCTTCGTTGCCGAGATGTTTTGTTTTTTCTAAATTAATTTTTTTTTTTTTTTTTTTTTTTTTTTTCCTTCTTCACTCCTAGGAGGAGTATAGGGCTAGTGCATGATATCTATCATGCCCTAGTTTCTATAGTCATAGAGAGTTAGCTAGGTAGGTGACTAGCCTGCCGTAGTTTTATTTATATTAATTATTTGAGGTTATTAATATTTACTGTTTATTTTTCTTAGTTTTTAGTATCGAATATTATGAATATTTGAAAATTACTTGTTTAATATTTATTAGTATTGCATATTAAGTTATATAATATTGAATATAATTTTTATAGTGACCTGACCGGGGTTTGAACCCGAGACCCTTCGGTTAAAGGGCCGGTGCCATAACCACTGCACCAATGATCAGATTCTAAATTAATTTACTAAAACAAAATTTTTTTACAAAAATTAAAAAATAAACAAAAAAATTTTTTTTGAATTTCTAAACGCAGTGAAAGCTTTCTTGAAAGTTCTTCTTTTTGATCTGTTTCTTTTCTTTTAATAACAAGAATAGCGATATACTGATGCAAGAAGACTGAATAGCTTTTAAGAATGTATTATCAGATTTGCACAATAACCATGTCTAATTAATATCAGCTTGAGAAGGTAACATGAAACTCTTTGATATCTTTATTCTATATAATTTGATGAGTATTTTTAGCACTTTTCCAAAAAAATTTTGAAAAAAAGTGCTTATTAGTTCTACTCTTTCCGTCCGTTCGATAGATTTTTACTAGCTTATTTAGAACTTATTTCTGTGCCTTCTGAAAATTTTCACGTATCTTCCTCCCTTTAAAAGTTATAGCCTTCCAAAAACCTTAAAATGTCACTTGTTTTCTATTTATTGCAGCGCAACCATAAGCATTTTTCAAATTTTACAAACGCAAAAAAATAGTGCCTTGCTTCTTCTATCATGGCATACTATATTTAAATTTAAAAAAAAACAAAATGGCCGTTAAAATTTACCGTTATCAGTAATGCCTATATATAATACGTTTTTTTAAATTTTTATACCGTTTAGGAGAAGACCTCAGGTCATAGGAGTCTTTAATTTCAGTAGCTTTTGGATATTAATAAATATTTTAAATAAATAAGCTCCGTAAATCCCTTACAAAAAATTCCCGTAAAAATTGAATGTTTAAAAAATTATATTTCCGAAAATGCAAGCTTTTTCGACTTCCGTAAGCTAACGGTAAATCAAATGCCATTAATAAATATAATTTATTATTTTTTTAGCTTTTAAATTCGAGCATTATGTTAACCCCTCTTTCAAATTGTTTTTTTCTGTCCGTCTTAAGTGCATGCAGTCAGTGAAAGCTTCTCCGTATGTGAATGAAAGTAATACCTAGATATAGATACCTAGATTATTTGTGAAAATATTGTTCATACTTGTTGAAGAGAAAGTGATACATTACAAACCTTTGGTTTGACCAAACTTTATTTAGTTTATCTTCTATTTAATATACTCGTTTTTATTTTAAATGTCTCTTCCTAAAAGTTATTGAATAAGAAAGTTTTACTGCTCATTTTACTGAGTGAATTTATGTTAATAAGTAATTTAATTTTCTAATACAGGTTATCAAACTAATTTATAATTCTTTGAGATGACAATAAGCCGCCGGTTTCGTAATAACATATTTTTGTATATTTAAAATAATGTGAATTCTTAAGTAAATATTCAAGTTTTGACGTTTTCTTAAGATACAAAAATGGAAAGCTATCTATCGGAAAAAATCTGCCTTAACTGCATCTTTCAATCGCTGCTTTTAGCCTATTTTGTTGCATTTGAAATGTGACAATACTCTTAAATAGAACGGTGGCAGTAATAGTGAAGAGTTTTCGAATTGTACAAAAATATGAACAAACTAACTGAGTTGTATAATTAATATTGCTTAAAATTAAAATTAAAAATGCTTAAAATTAAATACAGATAAATTTATTCAATCAAAAAGTATTTTAACTTAATTAATAAACAAAGTGTTTTTTTGGGCATGTTTTTAGTTTAAATATCTGTTTCAAATAATAAACATTGAAAATTTTTGTTAATAGAATGGTCCATAGTACATAATCTTACTAAGCGTATTTATAGAATAGAAGCTGGAGCTTTTAAAGTAAATAGATAATGTAGATTTAACACAAAATCCACCGTATAGCAAACAGGGTTGCCACAGGAATAAAAAAACATATTATTATCATTTTCGTTTGAAAAATTACCAAGTTTAGAAAAATAAAAGCAAAATTATGAGTTGTTACCAAAATAACTACATAAACAAAAATAAAAATAATAAATTTCATAAATAAACAGAACGACATTACACCTAAAAATTTTATATAACGTTTCTCTAGCACTAAAAAATTTGATATGTGAGATTTAGTGCCACCACATAACCTTCTTTATTGTATGCAATAATATGAAAAGTAATGAAATCAAATAAGAAGCTACAAAGTTACCAAACGAAAGTAAAATTACCACTTTTTGTAGAAAATTAATAAAATGGCAACTCTGATTGTAAAACAAATATTATATTTCACTCACAGAAAATGAACGTATGTATAGGTTAATATACAAGTAATGCGGGCTAATATAATATCTATATTATCTTGTTCTAAAATACGAGTAGTATAAGTTTAACTTTACTGTTAAAAAGAACGATCTACAAATTTCAGAAAAAGAATAAAAGATATAAATTTTTGCATCATTTTCGATAAAAAACAAGATTAAGAACCAATATGATTTTTGTTACTTTAATGCTTTTAATGATAATTATATTTCTATCACATTTATATTTCACGTGGAATTTCAATTATTGGGAAAAACGTGGTGTTAAAGGTCCAAAACCAAAAATATTTTTTGGAACACAAATTAATGCGATTACACACAAACGTAGTATTGTGTACGATTTTTTTGATCATTACAAGTAAGTTCGATAACAATGATTAAATATGTGACTCATTAAGATTGCAATTAACATTATTATTACATAGATGTATGAATTTATTAAAATAAAACTTTTATTGACTATACTTAAATACTTAGATTATATTAGAAACACCCGTTTTTATTTGAGACTTTATATATTGCTTACTTTAATAGAATAACTTGAATTAGTAATAAATTAAATAGAAATTTTCCACAATGCCAATGCGTTCCGAATATTAGAAATTGTGATAAATCTTACTAAATACCAATATTATGAAAGCTTTTCAAGAGGTAAATTAAGACTGGATAAATATATTTAAAACTAACATCTTGATGGTACAAATGTTGTGGTTAAGGCTCAGAAAATCATAGTTTCTATACTTAAGAGCGATTTTCTTTTTAATATTAAAATTAATTATTTTATATAATAGTTATTACAATTAATTATAATTATTCTGGTTAGAAAATTCTATATAACATAGTGTAATATATTTATACATAGTGCTTGTAAAAGTTTACTCTTCAGTTGACTTACTTAATTTATATTTAAAAGAAGTTGCCAAAAATGTTTAAAACAACAAAATTATTTTTGTTTTATACTCTGTTATGTAATTCGAACATTTGGTTAAATCATTTTTTGACAGAACGTTTTAGATGTTTTCGTACTGCTTAATAGCTTCGCCGGTTTTGTAAAGTTAAAATTTTCTTTTGGTAATTTTATAAAATTAAATATATTTGCCAATTAATCTAGTTCATTCAGCGCTTCCGTATAAAGCAATTTTAAATTGGTACTTAAATCCTTTGTAATTATGTTTTGATTCAAAAAATTTAGAAAAGTAAATTTCATAATGCTAAGATTATATTCTAAGACACCTATACATATGAGCAGTATTGCAGAGAGACATAAACATTTGAGTGTTATAAATGTTATGAATTAAAAATTATGAAATAATTTTCTATAATAATGATGAACTATTCAAACGCTTGAAATTTATTTATTGAATTTCTAAATTTGCCTACCGTTTGTAAAGCTAAGAAATTATGGTCTGCGATATAGACTCAAGTGTATGTTTTTGATCAGTGCCGATTTCTGAATCGATTTAGCTTTGCCTGTTCGCCAGTCCACCCCAACGATAACTTAAAAACTAATAGATGGTAAATGCCAGAACCTTTTTTAAATTGGATATGATCGAGGTACTGGTTCGGGTAGCTGCCATACAACTTCAACATTTATTTGACTATATCTTAGAAACTATAAAAGCTGTGATATTCGTTTGTTTGAAATTTCACACAAACGAATATATTAGTAGGGCCAATATGTTTGATAAATTTAGTTGAAATTGCTTGGTTCTTGCTGGTACCAGCCTTACAACTTCGATTGTTTTTTGGACCATTTCTTGGAAAATATTGAAAAGTACTGAAATTTTGTACACAAAAAGTACAGAGAACTGAAATTTTGCATAAATTAATATGGTAATATGGCAACTTAAAGTCATAGTCTGTCCCAGAGTCAGGTATTCGTACGGGTATCACAACGTTTTTCTGCGGGTACGGGTATCACAACTCTTTTTTTTTCTCGTTTAAATTATAAAATTGGAAGACAAAATTTACTATACCTATAGTATGTATCATTATGTATAATATTCCATTCAAATTAAATTTTTTTTTTAATTATACATTTATATTTAAACCCAATTTATGAGGAGATTAACTAAAAAATAAATATTTGAATATTTTTTTATTTTATTTTACTTAAGTAAATTTAAAGCAACCGAAAAATTTATTGGAATATTTGCAACCCGCAGTCCTGAATTGTTGATTTTAGCACCAGATGTATTTAAAGAGATTTATGTTTCAAAATTTCATAGTTTTCACGACAATTACTTCTCTCAGATAGTGAGTATTGTAAATGTCTTTTTAAAGAAATGATGATTAATATTTTAAAAATAGATTTTTAAATGTTCTTTTGATATTTAAAATAGTTTGATGTTAAATCAGAGCCATTATTTGCATCAAATCCACTTGCACTTATTGGACAAGAATGGAAACAAAAACGAGCTGAACTTATTCCTGCTTTAACTACAAACAGAGTAATTTAATTTTTATTTATACTTAAAATTTAAATACTTAACAATAACTACATAAAATTATGGAAGAAGTTTAAAATTGAATATATTTTTAGTTAAAAGCATATTATCCAATAATGATGAAAATATGTTCAAAAATGGTTGATTTTATTCGAAACAAAAATAAAATTGAAGGAGAGGATTATGTTTTTAACTGTAGAAAGGTACTGTATTTTATTTAACTGTATAAAATTGTAAATCTTAAGGAAAATGTATCGCAATGCTAGAAAAATCGCTACATTAAAATTTAAATGTTAATTTGTTCTTGTACACACTTGAATTCATAAATATTTTCGCTAATTCCTTTATTTTGTTTTTTTAACAATTAAATTTCTGAAAATTAGTTAACTCAACGGTTTACAATACAAAATGTTGCTGATTTTATTTATGGAATTGATGCTGGTGCATTTGAAATAAACAGTTCAAGTGAAATATTGCAACAAGGAATGGATTTAATAACAAATCTCTTTACTAATTTTAATACTGTATTTATATTGGGTTCTATACCATTATTGGGAAAATTATGGAGAAAAAGATTAACGGAAAAAGAAGGTGAAACATTTTTGGCAGCATTAACAAAAAATGCAATTGAACTTCGAGAATCATTGAATGAAACAGAAAGAATTGATTTTCTTAATTATCTTATACAGCTAAAACAAAGAAAAGGATTGATTATTAATGAATTACAAGGTCATGCAAATACGGTATTCTTTGATGGATTTGAAACATCAGGTGTTGCATTGGCCCACGTTTTACTTTGTGTAAAAAATATTTTAATTAAATTTCAAAATTAATTGTTTCGAATTTAAACGTGACTTAATTTTAGATTGGACGAAACAAAAATATTCAAAATAAACTAAGGCATGAAATTGAAATGAATTCTTTTGAAGATGAAATGATTACTTTCGAAAAACTTTTGGAACTACCATATTTAGATCAGTGCGTTAAAGGTAAAAAAAGATACATATCATTTAATATAATTTTTGACATTTTTATATTGTAGAAGCTTTAAGACTTTTCCCACCTGCCATTTTTTCACAAAAAGTTTGCACTCAGGACACTGAATTGATTAATAGTGATGGAAATGTTGTCAAAATTAAAAGAGGAATTCCCGTGACAATACCAATTTATTGTATTCATAATGATGAAAGATTTTATACGAATCCTATGGAATATAATCCGGAAAGGTTTAATCCTGAAAATGGTGGTGAAAAGAAATTTAAGGATTTGGGAGTTTTTTTACCTTTTGGTGATGGTCCAAGAGCTTGTTTGGGTACTGTATTAAATTAAATAGCATAACATATTGTATACGAGTACTAAATATTTATGAAATTTTAGGTCAGAAATTTGGTTTGGCACAAATTAAAACATGTTTATATGAATTAGTGAAGAATTTCGAAATTAGTATTAGCAGTAAGACAAGAAATGATAATTTATTGAATCCGGAAAATATGCAATTATTTTTAGATGGTGGCATCTGGTTAATTTTTAAAGAGTTGAACAATTGAATTAATTTTGTTGAATTAAGTTGAGTTAAAAAATATTATCAATATTTTGTTTAAATATCCTTTAATCATGTATAACTTTTAGCATATTTTTGCTGAATAATTATGAATTTGCATTTTAAAAGTACTTAGTATTTGCATTTAATTTGTGCAGGTATCGGTTCTTTGATAAATTAATTAGGGCTCAATTACTTCTTCATTAAACTCAACTAATACATTCTCTTTTAGTGGAGTGTATAAGCAAACACACGTAATAATAACAATTTCATAAAAATTTTAATATTAACGAGCTTTCTAATATTTCGTAATTTGTAAGTGCTTTTCTCATTTGTAATTTGTGAGTGATATGATAGAAATGAGAATAGAATATGAGAGACAAAACTTTTAATTGAAAAATTTCAATTGAAAATAATGTTTGTTGTAGAAGCACATTTTGATTTGACTTTGACAATTTTTCATTTTAACAAGTAAAAACACTTAATTCGACCATGTGATTATAACAACTAGTTTTTGGAATTAGTATTTCAAAAAACTACCCAGATTTTTCAAGTATTTCAACAAAAATGTCTAGGATATATTCAAACCACATAGGCCTGCATGACAGCTATCTGGAATTGGACGAAAGCTTTTAGTGATTAAAAACTCCAACTCCATACCAAAGTTAATACATGTGGTCGTCACTAAAGTGTTTAGAAAACACTAAATTTTTCTCATTCTCAAAACATATACTTAATATTTTTATAGTTTACTTTCGTGTAGACGTTCTTGATTTCAAACTTTTTAAGTTCATTAAAATAATTTAAAACATGGACAGACGAAATAAAATTATAAAGTGAATATTTTTATAAAAATTTATGAAATTATGTTCTAAAAAAATTTTATTTATAAAAGCTTGCTATTCATTTTTCACGTTAGATTGAAACTACTCTTCAGTAGAAATTTTATTAATTTATAAAATATTTTTAAAAATTTTTTTTAAATATTTTTTTTTTATTCAAAATTAATATTGTGGAATAGTGTAAAAGTCAATTTTTATATAAACATGATTTTAATATCAATAATTATTTTCTTAGTTTCACTTCCAATATTGTTTTATTTATATTTTACTTGGAATTTTAATTATTGGAAGAAAAGAGGAGTAAATGGCCCTGAACCTAAATTTTTAGTTGGAACTTTTCCTAGTTCTTATAAGGGTGATAGAAACATCATTTATGATTTCGAAGATATTTATAAGTAAGTTGAAAGAATTTTAGTTCTAATATTAAAATGATAGTGTTGTGTATAATTGTGATTATAAGCCTTTAAGTGAAGAAAATGATTAATAAGTTGGAGATTATGTAGATATTTCCAATATTTTTTACATTCAAAAATATTTAATGTTAAATTGAAATTACAATTAAATCTAAGCAAACAATAATATGAGAGGAAAAAATAATTTGCCTAGCAATTGAAATTAATTTATACAATGTCTTCAACGTTATTTTTCACTACGTAAACCATTTTCATCAAAGTTAATTGAAAACATATTAATAAAATTTTAAAAATTTATGAAGTGGCTGACATAATATTTGTGTGATAAAATTAAACAGTTTAGTTTATTTTAAAGTTTACTATTAAATTTGATTTATTTAAATTGTCCATTTATTATCGACCGCATTGCATAACATAAAACAGGATACGTGATCGCAGAAATACTTTCAGGTCGAGTTTTGAATGGAACCGCCTTTTTCCAAGGTAAACAAATTATTTTTAGCGAGATCTGCCGGTCTGGTCTGTCTGTCTGTGTAACTCAAGTTCTATTTAGCCAATTTTGATGGAAATTTATATCGGAGTTTATCTTGGCTACATCACCGATTTGAACAACTTTTGATCTTTTTACGAGGTAAATTCACGTTTTTGCGTATATAAAGAGAAATTTGATAGAAGTGTTTAAAAGAAATTGTCATAACAATGTTGTACAACATTTTTACTAAATAAAACATTATAACTTGCGGTCGATCATGTGCTGACCACATTGGATTTTGTAGCTGCAAAAAAATTCGCGTGTACTAAATACTTGTTTTTGTTGTTTTTCAATTGGCAGTGGCAATCGTTAGCAATTTGTTGATTGCTGCAATTTAATGATACAATTGTGAAAAATATCATAAAATTTTTTTCTAGAATATTATAAATTTAAATGACATTTTAGAATTTATGCACAGTTTCTTTTGAAATATAAGATTTCTTCTTATTTGTGGCAATTGCTACTCAAAATTATGATAGTTAGTTATGAAGATTTGTATACCTTATCATAATAAATATTTTTCAATTTAAATGATTATATCAACAAGAGTACTATTATACAGTTTATAAAAATGTTTACTACCTTTATAGTAATTTAAATGTGTACACAGCAGTATTATCGTTTAGCCACTTGTAGTGTAATAATATTGTAATAATTAAATTTATATTTGAAGTTAATTAAATTGTATATGCTTATACGTACTTAGGAAGTAGTTGAAAAAAATACTCGAAGTAAATTATTTGCTATTATCTATATAATAGTAATATTGGATTAGAATGTTTACCTATACTGTTAAAGTTTTCAAACAGCAAAAACTAGATATTGATGGTAGTAATATGATCGATAATTCTATAAATAAAGTAGTTGAAGAAGGACAAACATTATCAAAAATATATAAAATTCTTTAATTGGCTAACGATTTTGACGCCTTAAGTTATTTTGCCCTGTCATTCTAATCGTTTTAGGTGACTAGACATGTTTAATTACAAATTTATTTTTCTCCTTTTTTTCAATTAAAATAGTAGGTATATCAATTTGAAATTGTAAATAATACTTATCGCATAACTTGTTATATCGCGTTAAGGTGAATAATTTTATTTATGTATGTACATATAAATATATGTATATGAAATGCAATATAGAGTTGCACTTACATATGTAGCTGTATATATGAAAAAAAAAAACCTTAGAGGGGGCTCAGATAAGCGAATAGTCTTATATATATGGATATAAGTTAAAGAATGCTATATAAAATTATGACACTTTTAGCATAACTCATAGTTATTTTTTATAAATAGCTGTACGATAAAAAATAAATATTTAGACATTTAGGAGCGTTTTTCATATTAAATATAAATAAAGTTTGGTCAAACCAATGGTTTGTATTGTAGCACTTTTCCCTTCAACAAGTGAAAATACTGATTTGCAAAACAATCGATGTATACCTACCACACTATTAAAATTATTTTCATTCATATACGAAACTATTTCTGGGATTGCATATATTTAGGATGAACAGTTTATGCAGTTTTTAAAATAAAGCAAAATAAATTTAAAGAGGGGTTAACATAATGCTCAATTTTAAGGATTAATTGCATCAGTTAAGAAAAATAATTATATTTTTTAATGTCATGGAATTTACAGCTACCTTTCTGCATTTATAGAAATTTGAAAAAGCTTGCGGTTTCGGAAATATAAGGCATCAAAAATTCAAATTTTACAAATTTCAAGAGGTGATAACTTGAGAGGGGGTGGAGATGGAAAAAAATTTTCTTCTAACGAAATGAACTATTTGTTAATTCCTAAAAGGTATTTTCTACTAAAATTTCAGGCTCCCACATCCTGGGGTCTAGAAGCAAAACCACATCAAAAATTAGAAAAATACGGATTTTATGTAAAGGTAAATTTTAACGGCCATTTTGTTTTTTTGAAGTTCAAGTATAGTATGCCGTTTCACTGCTTTTCTGCATTTATAAAATTTGAAAAATGCATATGGTTCAACTACAGTAAACAGTTGAAAAATGACATTTTTAGGGTTTTGAGGGGGTATAACTTTTAGAGGAGAGGAGATAGGTAAAAATTATGTTCTACGAAAACTAGTTTCTAGTAAAGATCTATGTACACATAAAATTTTAGGTTTCTATCTTCAAGGGTGTAGAAGCTTTGTGAACAGACACACGGACGGACGAACTGAGTGAAACTAATAAGCAATTTTTTCAAAAATTTTTTGGAAAAGTGCTAAAAAAGGTAAAAATCATATTTCAAAATTAACATAATTTTGCTCTTTTGACAGAAAATACAAAGGAAAAACGAAATATGTTGGAGTTTTTACGGGTAGAGAACCTCAACTTCTTCTATTAGCACCAGATATCATTCATGATGTTCTTGTAACAAAATTTAGAAATTTTTATGATAATCATGTAGGCCATTTGGTAAGTCAAGTTTAAAAAATTTTATTAATTAAATTTCAAAATTAAAAATTTTATGCGGAAAAATAATTTAAATGAAAAAAAAAAAATTGATTTCAGATTCAATGTAACAAAAAAACTGAGATATTGGCTTTAAATCCTTTCTTCTTAAAAGGACAGGACTGGAAAAGTAAGAGAGCGGAAGTAACACCAGCACTTTCAGCAAATAGGGTAAAAATTTTTTCATATAATAATATTTTCACTACTTTATTAAACAGTTCAATAATATTTTTTTACTCGTATTGTTCTGATAACATTCAAAACGATTAAAGTGTTTTAATTGTAAATTATATTTTTTCTTTTCTAGATAAAATCTTCTTATCCTGTTATGGAGAAAGTTAGTTCGAAACTAGTAGATTTCATTAGAGAGCAAATTCAAATCCATGGAAATAACTACAATTTTGATGCACAAGAGGTACATAAATTAAATTTTGTAAATTTTGTATGCAATTCTTTATTATTGTGTAAAATTCAATAAGGAAGTAAAGGATAAGGGACCTAAAAATATTTAAGAAAATAAAATTAAAATATGTTCACCTACATAAATTATTAAAATTTTACTTGTACAATAAACAAATTTTAAAATTAACTCTTCATTTTTCAGTTTTGTCAACGTTATACAATACAAACGGTTTCTGATTGTGTTTATGGAATTGATGCAGGAGCATTGAATTCCGAAAATGATAGCCGTCTGTTATTAGAGGCGAGAAATTTAGTGAATGATTTTATTGCTGGATTTTATAAAATTTTATTGTTAAGTCCAATTCCATTCCTATTAAAGTTGATTCCAATTAAATTGATGAGAGAAAGCGGAAAAATATTTTTTACTAATTTATTGCGAGATGCAATTAGTTTGAGGAAAGAGAAACAAAATGATAGAGTTGATTTTTTAAATTATATGATACAATTAAAAGATAAAAAAGTATTGAGTGATTTTGAAATGCTTGCTCATTTAATGACATTTTTCGCTGATGGTTTTGAAACTTCTGCCAGTACTCTGGCTAATACTTTATTATGTGTAAGTATTTTAATTAATGTGGTTATAAAATGATGAAGCTTTTCAATTTTATTTTTTTTTAGCTTGGAAGAAATCAAGATATCCAAAAAGAATTAAGAGATGAAATTATTTCTAATACTGGAAGTGATGGGTCCATACCATTTGAAAGACTTCATGATTTACCATTATTGAATGGTTGCATAAACGGTCAGTTAATTATAATATGCTAAGTTAATAAAAATCATTGTGTTTCAATAAAATATTTAATGAAATTGGGAGAAATCGAAAGTTTTGTGAATCCCATTTGTACTATATTTTAAATTTACTTATAAATTTCTATAAAATGTAATTTATATGTTTTTAGAAGCTCTGCGCGTATTACCAATTCTGAGCTATACTTCAAAAATTTGTACAGAAGAAACTACATTTACGAATTATGATGGAACTACATTAAAAATTGAAAAAGGGATGCCAATCCATATACCAACTTATATTGTTCACAATGATGAAGAATATTATCCCGATCCAGAAAAATATGACCCAGAAAGATTTAGTCCCGAAAATGGAGGCGAAAAAAAATATCGTGATATGGGAGTTTTTCTACCATTTGGTGATGGTCCAAGAATATGTTTGGGTAAATTTAGAAGTTTTTCAAAATTATATAATTTGAATAATTGTTTAATATTTTTCGTATTTCTGTATTTTAGGTCAAAAATTTGGACTTACACAAGTGAAAACTGGTTTATGTGAAGTTATTCGAAATTTTCAAGTAATTCCAAGTGAAAAAACTAGAAAAGATAACTTGATTGGTTCCGCTGGTAGTCTTTCAACTTTAAAAGGTGGAATTTGGCTGCAATTTAGAGAAATTAAGAATTAGCAATAAATGTGTAAAAAGTTTAACAGAACAAAAATCTCTATGTATATATAGGATCCTGACATAATTTCTTAAAATGAAAATATTTCAGGTTATCTAAAATTTTGAAATAAAAGTTTTTCTTTCGATAAATTTGATGAATTGTCGCTTTTACCATGGGTTATGATTTGTGCGAATTAATTTAAAAAATTTTACTATTAAATTATTTGAAACTACATTTTCCGGTATGTTTAATGCAGTATCATCATTTTACTCTCTTGCTGATTCGTTAGAATCGAAATTAAGAAGAAAAAACTAGTTTCTGGAAAGCGTTTTTTAAATAAATGATTTTTAAACTGCACTAAATTTTAGTAGAAATATTTCATTCTGGATAAATAGCTTATCCAGAAACAAATTACTTTTTTCTGAATTCGATATGATTTCGTGTTCCTAGAATGAATATAAAAAAATTTTCAGTAGAATTCAATTAAAAATACATTTGAAAAATTCGAGAAGAAAATTTTATTTTCTAATGAAACTTTAAAATTTGAGTGTTTCTGTTAAATTAAAAATAAATTTTTTGATTTCAAAATTAATATTATTGAAATAAATTTCAGTGTAATGAAAAGGTATTTAGGGGGAATAATTGTCATTTAATTTGAATTAGCTATTAACAAAATCAAATATGTATGAATATATCAAATCAGAGTTAGGAGAGATAAAATTAAATCTTTTTATTGCTTAGAAAGATTTGCAAATAAATTTGTGCTGTGTGTGAGTTTCAAAAAGATTTTTACATGGAAAGAAAATTAATTGAATCCTTAAAAATAAAGTCAAAGCTCGCTTACAATGTTTGCATTCTTCGTGCTGCTTCATTTCAACAATCAATTTAATAACTTCCTGCACAATTTGTTTATATGTATAAGGTATGTACATACATACATACATATGTAAATTTAAAACTTAAAAATTATTATTTCGATATTAAAACCCCAATATAAAATATTTGCTATATTTTGTAGAATAAAGTTTACCTTTACTGCGAGAGTCACAATCAGTAATGATTACATTTTTTCCAAATTAAATTGAATTTTTCAACCTTTATCTCGGGATATAAACTGATTTTGAATTGAATTTAGTCAAAAAATTAAAAATTTTTAATATGAATTTGTAATAAGCTAGATAAATGTTTCTGACTTTGGAAATTTTTCGTATTCTCTGCGTTTTTAAAATTTGTTCAAGAGTTTAAATACTCTTCTGGCTTACTTAAACTTTATATGTATATATGAAATAATTTTTTTAGTTTACTTAAAACTTAGCGCCGAACAAGTGCACGGAAAACTTTAAATCTTTAATAATAAATATTTTTTAAGTGGTAGGGTAGTACACGACAAAAAAAAGAGAAATTACGGAATTATAAGAATTATGGTTTCCCGTTCCTAAAAATACTTAAGACATAGAGCAACACCCCTAAAGAATAATTTGTCTTTCAAAATTAATTATGAAATTGTTTAAAAACAAGTCTAAATATGAAAATTTAACATTTAACAAAAATATTAAGTGATTGGACTGTTGTGTATTTCATTGTGAATGGATTAAAGAAATGTGAAAGCGTGAAAACGGAAAATAAAAATCTAAAAAAAAAAACTTGAAAATGAAATCAAGAATAAAATAAATTTACATTCCTTTTTATTATTTGAAATTATGCTGAACATGAAGAAAAAAATCAAATTGATGATTTTATTTTCTTTTGAAACAAACAGTGATTGATTATTGGTTTCGGTTCAAATTCACTTTTCATACTTGTACAAACGAAAGTTTTGCAAGGTATTATGAATTTACTACTCTGATTGAAACGCTAAGAAAAAGATGTCTGAAATATACATAAATAAGTAAAAAATTTTTATAAGCGTGGAGTTCTGAGTCAATTTGGCTATGTCTATCCGCTCGCCTGGCATAGATTGAAAAAGCTAGCAGAATCCGTCTGTCCATCCTTCAGTTAACAGAATTATATTTCTCAGTTACAGCAAAGGTTAGTCTATAAAATTTTGCTCTTAAAGCGTTTTGTAATTACATAACTATTCCGACTAAATTTGTTTAGGATTGCATAGATGCTAAGAGAGTTGCCAAACAATTTTAGAAATGAGAAAGGCTTAACAGTATTCTTAATCATAAAACTCTTAAAACTGATTCTATTTGCATTACATAGTTGACTAGATTAACTCTATTCTGACTCGTTTTAGGACTCAAAATAGAGTAAGAAAAGAGGACGTTAATGAAGAGTGTGTAAGGTAAAATATGATGGAAAAAATGAAATTTTTTAGAGAAATAATCTGTTTTTATTGTGTTTATTATTTTACAATTCCTGAAAAAAATTTACGTTTAAGAATTTATAAACTTTTCAGAGGAGTCGAATCTTAGAAAACTTAAATTTTCAATAAAAAACCAATTTTAAATTATTACAACTGATCCTTTGGCATATTATTAATTCTCTTGGAATTTGCAATAAGTGTGCAAAAGAGATTTTTATAATCTTATGCAACTCTCTTGTTTGATTAAAAAAACTTGAAATTTTTTTGAAATACAATATTGTTTTCTTTCTATTAATCATATCAGATTTTTTCTTAAATAACCTTAGGATGAACAATTATTTTTGTATAAAAATTCATTTTTAATTACAAAGATTTTTCTCAAATTTTCTTTTTTAATTAAATAAGGTTATTGCTATTTGATGAAATGTGTGGTTCTGTTCCTTGTTTTCTGTTTTTAACGTTATGTAATGGGAAATAAAATTTTCTGCTTTTATTTAAGATATGGTCAAGGTAACAGACTTATTGTTTATACTTAAATATATAGGATGTAGGATAATACAAAGAATTTTATAATAAAATAAAAACTTCTCTAATTAAATTTCAAATAGTTCGAAATTTTTATTGGAATTTAAACGCTCTGATTCAATTAAGCTTATAAAAATTATATGAAGTAGGGAAATTTACTTTGACAGTTTTAGAATGTTTACTGTGACCAAAACATTGCTTTGAATTTATATCAACTTCAACCAATGCCTAATTTAAAAGAAAATGAGCATAGGTACATTTAACCCTAATGTCTATTTTGTGATACCCGTACGAATATATGTAGTACTTGCTTTTCTTATTAAGTGGTGGTCTAACAGTTTTATAATAAAGTATTTTCTGAAACATGATTAAATAGTTGTTGACATAACTAAAATAATGATCAGATTTCAATGTTGTACCTTAAATAGTTTCCAAACCAATGCAAGTTGTATGACCATAAGGAATTATGCAAATTGAACTTCATTCAATTAAAGTAATGGCGAACTAACTAGCATATTAGTTATTATGTTCGTTTGGAGGAAATTTTGGTATATTAGTTTGAATGGTTTCTGAGATTGGACTATTATTATTATTAACGAATGGCTTCTGAGATTTGATTCTTCTAATTAAAAACGGAACGGTAAATTTATAATACATTACAAATATACGTTCGTTTAGGGGTATAAAAAACTTTTTTAATGAACTCCATAACTATTTTGTTGCAAGTTATTTTGTGAACTTTTTTCTATAGAGAAACACAAGCTTCTGCATAAGTTTTTTATGTATGTACGTTTTAAGTTCTGGAGTTCAATTAAAAATACAAGAGTTATAAGATTATATACATTTTGTTTTAAAATTACGTTTTTTTCTTTCATATTAATTTCCTGAAATAATTTATCAGTTTTTGAGAAATAAAAATTTGATATTTTAAAATTTTTATATTTATAGTAATTTTACACCTAAAACTATGAGTAAAATTTAAAACAATTTTTAATTAATTTATAATTCTTTGAATCTTAATAATATTTTTCCCTTTAATAGAGCTGCTAAGCTAATGGAACCAATCAAATTATCCTGTCTTGTTTTTTCATCAACATCAATTGAAAATCTTTTAACAATTTCAGCTATAGCTGCCTTAGATTGACACAATCCAAATTTCATACCTGCACGCATAATGTAATAAATAAGTTTGTATTTAGAGTAAAAATAACATTTAAATTTGAAATTTATAACCTGGACATATTCTTGGACCATCTCCAAATGGAAAAAATTTACCATCTTCTTTGAATTTTTTGACACCACCAAATTTTTCATCAAATCTTTCTGGTATAAATTCTTCAGGATTATAATAATAATCTGGATCGTGATATATTGAATAAAGTGGTAAATGAATTGTTTGTCCGTCATTAATAACTATTTTATTTCCATTATAATTTTCTAATGTTAAAGTTTCAGTACAACGTTTTAAACTGAATGCGATCGGTGGAAATATCCTCAAAGTTTCTAATGAAAATATTTTATTTTTATTGATTTTTTTGAGATTTTTCAAAATTTACCATTAATACATTGATCCAAATATTTCATATCATTTAAGATTTCAAAACTTAAACATTGATTTTCATCTAAATTATTAAAAATTTCAGTTCTAAGTTTATTTTGAGCATTTTTGTTTCTGCCAAGCTATTATCCAAAAAAAAAAATCAATAAATATTTTCAAATATGCAAATTTAACTAAACAACATTTACATAAATTATTTTGTTACCATTTATGGAACATTTAAATCTCTTACCAATAATAAACAATGACTTATTGTTGTAGCTGTTGTATCATAGCCATCCAATGTTAATGTTAATGCATGTGCAACTAATTCATCTAATGTTAAATTTTTATTTTCCTTCAATTGAATTAATGTGTCCAGAAAATCATTACGATAATTTGAATTTTCTAATCTAAATTTTATGGAATCATTTAATAAAATTTTAAAGAAATTTTCAGTTGAATCCGATAAAATTCGAGCATTAAAAAATTTCGTAAAAAATGGTATTTTATTTGCATAAGATAATAATTGAAATCCATTTACAAATTCATCAACAAATTTGTCATTTGCTTTCATTATAAAATTTTTTTCTGCATTTGATAATCCATCCAAGGAATTCGCCTCGATCCCAAAGATGGTATTTGTTGTAATATGAACAGTAAACCGTAGAGCAAGCTAAAAACAAAAATCGTTAAAGCAATAAAATTATGAAGAGGATATTTGCAAAAGGGAAATTTTAATGATATTTATAAAAATATGCAAATATGTATATATGTGTTTTAAAAGTCTTACATTTCTAGCATTTATGCTTGAAGAATTTTTATTATTAGCTGCTATTATGTAGTCCGAAAGTTTATTACATGCTTCTTGGGTTATAGTATACCACGATTTTATCTAAAATACAAATAAAAGAAAAAAATTTTTTTGAAAATATATATAATTGTACTAGTAAACCTTATTCGCTGATAACGATGGTACTATTTGAGATCTCACTTCTTTCCAAGTATCACCAGTTAAAAGGAAAGGACTACGTCCAATAATTTTTTCTTTGTCATGGTTTATCTATAAAATATATTGAATAATTTGATCACAAAATATTTATAAAAATTTTGAATTTATCTGACGCGACTTGAGCACCTCTTCCGATTTAATACACAATATTTTTATAGCTACTATTCCCTATTGAATTAATACACTAAATCACATACGTATTCGTAACACGTTTTATAATATGAACTTACCCATTTTCCAACTGCATTGTCATGAAAATTTTTAAAATATTTAACAAATATATCTCGTACTAAATTCGGGCATAAAATCATAAGTTCAGGTTCCCTAATTGTATATACCCCAATTACTTTATCCGTTGATTTAAATTCCCTTAATAATTTCCAAGAAGTGTTAACAAGTTATTTAAATAAATTTTAAAATTTATTAATACCTATATAAGTCCGTTTGATCATATATTAAATTTGAATTTTTTAACATTGTTTTTGGAAATGTTCCAATAAATGGTTTTGGTTTCGGACCATTTACACCACGTTTTCGCCAATAGCTAAAATTCCATGTTAAATAAATATAAATTATTCCTCCAAAAAACCCTAATAATAGAATCAAGAATATCCATAAAGCCATCTAAAATTTATTATTTTAACACTATTTTCGTTCTAAATTCAAAAAAAAAAAATAAATAAATAAAAGAAACTGTTATTCACAACTGAAAATTTTCTAATGAAGTTGAAAAATTCTATATTCATCTTATATTTAATAAAATATACTTATTATTTATGTTTATATTAATGTACTCTTAAGTACGCCGTTATACATTTATACGCACCAAAAATAAATCATTAGCAAAGATAACGATGTCGTCCAAATTTTTGATAATGGGAAAATTTCCGAAAAATTATTTTCTAATCTGGTTTTTATGCCATTAAAGGTTATAGGTATAATCAATATTTTTATAAATTTGATAATATGAGATAAAATGCATAGAATTTGTGTAGTCCACACAGTAGATGATTTGTGTCAAAAACGTTTTTATCTTCAGAATTGACCTTGAATTCTGTATATTTGATATATTTGCATTGAATTTTATTGCTCCTTTTAGTATAATATTTTTGAACAGTAAGGTCTTTTGTTAAAAATTTGCGATAAATCAAAGAATACGCAAATTTCTTTAACTGAAATAGTACAATGTTATTTTTAGCATTTTTGAAATTAATTTTTTTAGGAGAAACAAGAAAAATCCTGGTATAATAGAAGAAGTTCATATATTATGCTCAAATTTTATTAAATCAGTTTGCTCATTATTTTTTTTGTTGTAAAATTCTTAGTTTCAGGTTAATTACAGCTATTATTTTTTTATTTCTTCAAAATCTAACCAAATTCCACCATCTAGCATAGCAAAAAGTGAATCTGTTGCCAAGGTATTATTATGTCTAGTTCTTTCGTTCACCGTGATTTTAAAATGCCGTAAAATTTCACAAATTCCAATTTTTGATTGTATTAATCCAAATTTCATACCTTTACCGAAAAAATAAATATTTAAAAATCAAAAGTTATAGATTAATTTTTTAAAAGCTTGTACCAAGACATATTCGCGGACCGTCTCCAAATGGGAAAAATTTTCCTTCATCTCTAAATTTTTTGATACCACCATTTTCTTCGCTAAAACGTTCTGGTATAAATTCTTCAGGATTTGGATAATATTCTCTATCATGATGTAAAGAATGAAATGGTAGAATTACTGTTTGTCCAGGAAGAATTTCAATAGTTTTTCCATTTTCTGAATTTGTGAACGTAAAAGGTTGTGTACATTTCTTAAAACTATACAAAATTGGTGAAATAATACGTAGAGTTTCTAAAAGTGAAAAATATATAGTATTTTTAATATTTCTAATATAGATCAATATAGAAACCATGAACACAGAGATCTAAGTATTTCATTTCCGCAATTTCGTTAAAGTCTAATGTGCCTTTTTCATCAATTAAATCCATAATTTCATTTCTTAATTTTTCTTGAACTATTTTGTTGCGACCTAACTGCAATAAGTTTTTCAAAAATTGAAAGTATACATTTATAATTAAAATATCATCACTTCTAAACCAGTTTTTTGAAAAAAAAAAATTACCATTAAAAGAGTATGACTAAATAGAGTTGCTGTTGTTTCATAGCCATCTAATCCAAAAGTAAGCGCATATGATAATAATTGTTCAGTAGAAAAATTATTCCTTTCTTGAAGGGATAACATGAAATTAAGAAAATCCGTACGATTATTTGGATTTTTTAATCTTAATTCAATAGCATCATTTAATAATTTCAAGAAAAATTTTTCAGTTGAATTACTAAAAAGCCGAACATTTAAAATTCTTGATAAATATGGGATTCTGCTGAATATAGCAAATTTTCCAAATCCATTTTTAAAATCATTAATCATGCAATTCCATCCAGAGGTCATTATTGAATTTTTTGATATGTCTAAATCGAAAGCATTCGCTTCTAAACCAAATATTAAATCAGTGATAAGTTCACCTGTAAATCTTAAGGCCAACTATAGTAAAATCCTTATTGTCAATAAATTTTTACTAATTTTGAAGCTTTGAAATATATATAACATTTGGCTTACCAGTTTTCCATCAACACATATACTCTTTGAAGAATTTCGATTCTCTTGAAGATTTCGTAAAAAGTTGTTCATTTTGAAACAGGTTTCTTGACTTACTGGATAAGATATTTTAAGCTAAATGAAAATTATATGTACATCTTGATGAAAATATTAAAAAAAATAATTTTTATACTCTATTTATTGTTAATGCTGGTGATAAAATCGAACGCATATTTTTCCATTCTTCACCATATAGAGAGAATGGATTATTTCCAGCAACTTTGTCAACATCATGGTGAACCTAAAATTACAGAACAAATTTTAAAAGAATAAAGGTTTTTGATATTTTTTATAAATAATTTTAATAAATTAAAATTTTATTAAAATTCATTTCGGCATTATCTTTATAGACAACTATGTTTTTTTTTTTAAAATTTTGTGAAGAATGTTGAGAGGCACATCAACCAAACAAAAATTTATGGTAGATTAGTTCATTGACGATCTTTTTCCGGGAGAAATTATGTAAAACTAGAATATCGGATTCCAGTATAATTGATGAGTAGAGGGTTGACAAACTAAATACAATTAGGTCAATGTGCAGCAACATTCTGCCGTCTACTTTGAAAACTAGTTAAAAATCAATTATGTGCACATTTTTCAAAATATTTACTTTTTTGTAATTGTATATTTGGATAATGACGCGCCGTAATTACAGGATTATATCGGTGTGGTAAATGAATTTCGGTTCACATTCGCGAGTTCAAGCATCTTGCGCCATATGAGTACATACTTCCTTATACATTATTTATTCACATAGAGAGACTGCTGACATCTCCAAAATTCCTCAAAAAATATTTAATTATCTTTAATGGTGAAATATATCAAAATATTGATATCATGAAGTTCGGCAGTCGTGTGCCCAGTTTCAAGTCAGATATATTTCTGAAGTTTTGGTGGAATGACTTGACAGGTTCGTGTAGTTGTCATACAACTCCGAAAGTCAATTTTAAATATTTGAAAAAATATTAAAGCCTAGATTCATGAAGCTCGGCCGTCGTGTGCCCACTAATAGGTAAGATATAATATTCGTAAATTTTCTATCGAGTGGTTTGACAAGTTCTAGTAATTACCTTTTAGCAATCAAAGTTATTTCTAAATATTTCAAAAACAAATTTTTAAACTCAGATTGTCAAGTGCAGGGCATTATCAGGGTATAAACCGACTGAAACGTTTTTACTTGTTGTAATTAATTTTGTCAAAATTTTTGTCATTTATGCTACATTTTTTAGATATGGGTATGCAATAGAGGTTCCTATTAAAGTAATTCTTTATAAAAGTGTTTTTATATTTTTCATATAGGTTGTGTCAGATTTATTTTTTTAAAGAGAAATAATCTAATGGAATAATATTAATTTGCCCCTAAGTCTCTTGAAATTCCAGTATCCATATCCATTATCAAAGTATACTGGGGATAGAATATGTTTTTAATTCAAAATCTCCACCATCTACACATAATATTGTATTAACATGCACATTATGTCGAAAAATATTGAAAATATATTTTTCAACTTCTGACTTACTACTTTGTTTCTAAATCTTTACGTTATCACAAATTAATTAAAATATATAATTAATATACCTACAAGTATACATACATATGTATGCACCGCATTTAAAAATGTAAAATAAAAAATATAAAATTCATATCACATTTTAATTATACACAAAAAAAAAACAAAACCTTACCCACGAACTAATTTGATTATCATGAAAGCTTTTGAAATTTGTTGTCAAAACATCGCGTATTAATTCGGGTGATATCAGTAACAATTCAGGTTCTCTAAAACTAAAAATACCAACGAATTTCTCAGTAGGTTTATATTTCCTAAAATAAAAACAAAACATTATTCACTTAATTTTAAAATTATGATAATTTTATTTTTTTTTAACAATAAAATTTAAAAAATTTTTGAAATTCGGAAATTATTTTTAATATAGGTATAAACATTTCATTTGCATAATTTCTCTTTTTTCGTATAAATTTGCAATTAAAAATAACACTCAAGAAAAAAAAATGGTAAAATTCTGTACCTGTAAATGTCAACAAAATCATATGCTAAATTAAGTCCACCTTGCGTTGATTTTGGTAATGTACCAATGAACAATTTTGGTTCTGGTCCATTAATACCCCGTTTTTTCCAATAATTAAAATTCCAAACAAGATATACATAACCTAATAGTATTGCGAGTCCTAAGAGAATTAACGTACTTAAGAAAAAAGGTAATTCCATACTATGTTTTACTCAGTTCCACGTAAAAAATTTAAATATGTGATTAAATTTTAATTTTTATATAAAAAAATAACATGAGTATTTCATTTAAATATTATACGAATTCCTTGCGAGCGGTATTTTTAATTTTTCTAACGCGCAAGTTCAAGCGTATAAACCCTACTAACTATTGAGTTGAAGATATTGGATTTTTGGGCAAAATAAATTTGTTTACTTTTTTCCTTCTTATGTTTCTGATTCGTTTTTAAAAAAATCTGATGTGGCCAGCACATAACCAATCAATTTTCTAGTTTAGTGAAGGCCTTATAGAAGATTACATTTAAAATGCGTTTTAAACATTTATTTCCAATTTTAAGGACTTTAGTAAGAACTTAGTTAACATACCTAGAAAAATGTAATTTTGGCTCTTAGTAGAGATTTGCTTGGAACTATTCAAATTTACTGAAAAGTTTGTCATTTAATTTCGGTAGCAAATAGAACTTAAATATTAAATTTCAAGAAATTTGACCAATTAGTTTTGTGGATATGGTAAAAAATGTCAGGCCTTTAACTTTGTGTCTCCAATTAGTTTTGTGGATATGGTAAAATTTGGCCCTTAACTCAGATTCCGAGTTTTTTTTTTTAAATTACAGGTTCATTGTCTAAAGCCCCGAATATAAATGTTACATTTCAAAGAAATTGGTTGATTTTCTTTTTGCTTATATTCGAAAAATGTGAAGTCCAAAATGTAAAAATGTCTAGTTCCCTAGGCTTGATATACACATTTCAAAAGGTTATCAATCCATATAAAATTTCATCAAAATCGGTCCAGCTGAACTTAAAACTTACGCGTGCACGCGCAGGCCGACTAACTGACAGCCCGACATCTCTCTAAAAATTGTGCAATGATAAATGAAACAATGTGTTCCTAGCTTCCTACTGAAAACTCGGGATTCGAAATTTGGTGCCATCATATGACCTCCCTTATTATATACAATGCGGTTGGTAAAAAAACAAAAAGCTTTCTCTATATGCATACATTTTTAATATGTATTTTGTTGTCAGATTTGGAAGTACAACATATCTTCTACTTTAATTTCAGTGCTATTTAATAATCTATTAAGCTGGTCGAATACAATGTAATTAATAAAAATATTTTTAATAAAATAGCTTTTATCAGACGTAGAGAGTATGCAAATTATTTTTTTATGGGAGAGAGTTTTTCATGTCTACATTTTTAGATTATTGGATGATCATTAATTTTAACACTTCATGTTAGAAAAGATAGAATTAATCGAGCAATCTGTGAGATACTTATATGAATGTTTTCAGAAGTTGTGTGATAACTGAAAAAAGTTTTTAAATTCAATCCCTGCCATTTTTTAAATAGGAATTCAATGGTTGTGGTATCAATTGTATTTTTAATTGGTTTCGAATTAAAACGGATATCTTCTTCTTCTTCTTCTTTGCTAGGCCCTACAGACCATGAAGGTCCTGCGCCTGACTCAGCATTTTCTTCCACTCGCCTCGGTCCTGGGCGACTCTCCTCCAGTTGGAGACACGAAGCCTTTTTAAATCCCCCGATGTTTCGTCTCCCCAGCGAAGATGCGGTCTACCTCGACGTCTTGTTCCCTCGGGTCTAGAGTCGAATACTCTCCTTACTGGTGCGCTTTCAGACATTCGCGCCACATGACCTAGCCAGTGTAGCCTTTTGATTTTAATTTTGCTAACCACGTCTATGTCGCTGTACAGCTCGTAGAGTTCGGCGTTATATCTTCTCCTCCAGACCCCCCCCTCATTCACAGGACCAAGAATGCGACGAAGAATCTTTCGCTCAAAAACACTAAGGCATTGCTCACTTGTCCCAGACAATGTCCAAGCTTCCGAGCCATAGAGCAGAACCGGAAGAATAAGCGTTTTGTACTGCTGCAACTTAGTGTTTCTGGACAGGAGTTTTGAACCCAGCTGTTTTTGCAAACCGAAGTAGCAGCGGTTTGCCAGGGTAATCCTGCGTCTCACTTCCACACTGATGTCGTTCGTGGAATTTACGTTTGTGCCCAGGTAGATGAACTCCTTAACTACCTCAAAGTTATATGAGCCAATGGTGATGTTTTGGCCAATATGATGGGCCGCCGCCGGCCTGTTTGTCGACAGCATATATTTTGTTTTGTCCTCGTTCACATTTAGACCCACCTTTTTTGCTTCTTGATCAATCTGTGTAAAGGCTTCGATGACCGCTCGCCGCGAACGAGCGATAATGTCGATGTCGTCAGCGAAACCCAACAGCTGAACGGATTTAAAGAAGATAGTGCCTTCTGTGTTAACACCCGCGCGGCGCACTACTTGCTCCAGAACAAGATTGAAAAAGTCGCATGACAGCGCGTCCCCCTGCCGAAACCCGGTACGCGTTCGAAAAACCTCAGACGTATTTTTTCCAACTACCACCGCACATCTGGTGTTTTCTAGCGTCATCCGTGATAATCGAATAAGTTTGCTCGGGAACCCATAATCTATCATCGCCTCATATAATGCGGTGCGATGTATGCTGTCATAGGCAGATTTAAAATCGATGAATAAATGGTGTGTGTCGATTTGAAATTCGTGGGTCTTCTCCAGGATCTGGCGGAGTGCGAAAATCTGGTCCGTGGTAGATTTCCCTGGTCTAAAACCACACTGGTAGTTTCCTATGATGTTATTGCAGAGTGGTTTCAGCCGTTCGCACAATATGCTGGATAGGATCTTATAAGCAACATTTATTAAGGATATTCCACGATAATTGTTGCAGGACGTGGTATCACCTTTCTTATGGATGGGCTGTATGATGCTAACACTCCATTCATCGGGCATACATTCCTCCATCCAAATGCGGCCGATGATCTGGTGCATGCTCCCTACCAATATCTCACCTCCAGCCTTGAACAACTCCGCTGGCAGACCATCAGAGCCAGCCGCCTTGTTGTTCTTCAGCTTTTGAATGGCGTTGTTAACTTCTTCGAGGCTAGGTGGTAATACCTCTTCGTTGTTAACCGGAGTGTTCGATGTTGTTGCATCGTCTTCGGTGATATCCCTATTTAACAGCTGTTCGAAGTGCTGTTTCCACGTCTGTAATATCCCTTCTGCATCGGTCACCATATTTCCGTCACCATCGCTCAGCGCATATGTGTAAGGCTTAAATCCAGCCGAAAGCTGCTTAACTTTTCTGTAAAAGCTTCTTACTTCGCCTGTCTCGATGTTTCTCGATATCCAAGAGCTGGGATTTAGCATGGTCACGTTTTTTCCTCCTCAGGACCTTTTTCTCTTCCCTCCTCTTTGCCTTGTACTCCTCTTGCGCTGCCCTAGTTTTCCGTTGCAGCGCTTTCCTGTATGCCTCATTTTTTTCATCCGTCCTCCTCGAACATTCAGCATCATACCAAGGGTTCCTTAGAGGCGGCGGTTTATAACCCAAGATGGTCTCTGCCACATCTCTAATGATGCTTGCGCAATGTTTCCATTGTTCGTCCACGGACCTAAAAGCAGGAGGTGCGGAAAGAAGTTTCTGGCAAAGTTGCTCTTTGAAGGCGTCGGCTAGCTCGCTGGATTGCAAATTTCCAATGTTGACTTTCCTTTTTGAATTGCCGCGCAGCTTTCTAACATTGGATATTCGTGCTCTGAATCTTGCCGCAACTAAAAAGTGGTCAGAGTCGATATTTGCTCCCCTATACGTACGCACATCCAAAACGCTTGAACAATGTCGAGCGTCCGTCAAAAAATGGTCTATTTGGTTGGTAGTGCGACCATCCGGGGCTAGCCAAGTTGCCTTGTGGATATCTCGATGCGGGAAATATGTGCTACTTATAACCATATTGCACGACGCTGCCAAATCGGTCAAACGGAACCCATTGTCGTTGGTCGTGTGGTGAAGACTATGGGCGCCAATAGTTTTTCCAAAAATTTCTTCCTGACCGATCTTCGCGTTAAAGTCTCCTAACAAAATTTTAGCATCATATCGTGGGCAGTCTCCATATGTTTTGTAAAGAAGGTCGTGGAAATCCTCCTTGACGGAGTCGTCTGCCTCATTGGTAGGAGAATGAGCGCATATTAGGCTGATGTTGTAAAATTTAGCTCTAATGCGGATAACGGCCAGACGCTCATTAATTGGGCTAAATCCAATCACGTTCCGTCTAAGCCCGTCACCAACCACGAATCCGCATCCCAATATGTGATGCTTTTTATGGCAGCTATAGTAAATGTCGCATTTCTTTTTCCTTACAACTCCAGATCCTATCCAACGTATTTCCTGAATTGCAGTAATGTCTGCCTTATACTGCACGAGAACATTTTCCAATTTGTGCATCTACCTGGGCTGTAGAGTGTTCTTACATTCCAGGTACAAATCCGTAAATCATAGTCCTTAAAACATTTCTTACGTCTGTTACCAATAGATCCAACCAGTTTATTCGAGGCTACATTTGAGTCTCCCATAACTTCTGCTTTTTACGGGTAAGGCAGTTAACCTTACGCCAACCCCAAGCCGGGGACGAGTTCGCACTTACAGTTTCGGCCTATTCTGCCAGCGGGTGCTAGTAGAACAGTTACCAGGGGCCACCACGCGGAGGTAGAGTAAGCACTTGCCCAGGAACTCAACAGTTGCGCAACTGGGTCAGCGACCAATCAATTGTTTCCCTGTTGCTCCCAGACCAGACCCCCTAAAACGGATATAAAACATGGAATTAAGGAAAATAGATGTTGGCCAATATAATATATCTTCAGCAATAAGGCAAAACTGCCTTAATCAGTATCGTCACATTATAATTTCCCGCAAGCAAGTTTATAATCAATTAAAATTTAATTTAGTCATAATAATTTCAAACAATTCAAATTAAGAATGTTTTAAAAAATTCGCAATATTATTTTTAAATATTAGAAAAACATGTTATTGTTTCGAAAACATGGTTAAGTTTAAAAAAAAATTCTAATAAAGGCTTATTTAGATATTCTAATCTAATTGAAAAATTGAGTATTAAAAATAAAATGTGAACGTAAACTGCAATAGAAACTCAATTTTACTTACACTTATTAAAATTTTTTCCATTAAATGAATTTTTATAATATTTGATTAAGACGAATCTCTACTCATTCCACTTACAAAATTTTTCCTTATTGGCACAGATACATGCCATATACCTACTATACTATATCAGTTCTTCATTTATTAGTGTTACAAATGGAATTTTAAATTTATGAATATTTAGACAATGTTGTACGAAAATGTAAGCTGAATGAGATGTGAATAAACAAACAAATATATTAATAAAAATCAAGCTGATAAATTTATAAATTTATTGACATCCTAATATTTACGTAACAGTTCTTGGAATTTATTTGGGTACGAAAAATTTTTAATTTGCAAATAAATGTTGAGAATATTTATTTATGTGTCTGCATAAGCAGCAACTTACCTTTTTATTTTATTTCGAGTAAAATTGTTCAAAAATTTGTATAGCTAATAATTGATGTTAATTTATACAAGATACATATATGTATGTATTTATGTGCTTTAATGATTCTTACTTCATAACAAAAGTTAAAGAAAAATACCTGTCTTTGTAGTGTCCAATCTCTACTTAATCTTGAACAATTTCTAATTGGATGATAATAATTTACTCTTGATGATTCTTCTATATACGTATGTATGTATGCATCTCAATTATATCTTTATTGATTTTCTTGATGAAAATATTTTATAATTAAAAATTAAGTCAAGCAAACTCTTTTGTTGAATCAATCGTAAAATATTGAGTTCGAAGTCAATTAAATTAATTCTATTACTTACATACTTTTTAATAATAATTATTCACTTTGTTAAATATGTGTGCCAATAAAAATTAAATTAGAAGAAGGGTCAATAAATTTTTGTTGATTTTCAAATATTTACTGAATTTTAAAATATTTGCTTTTCAAATTTAATTTGATTTATTTAACAAAAAAGGGGAATCGTGATTTTTTCGAGAATAAGCATGTTATGTGAACTACACTCCCAAAATAATATTTTGTATAAACAACAGAAATGATGTGTCCAAGATAAAACTTATTATTTCTAGTATTGATCTCTCTAAGCAAGATTTTAAAACGTAAAATCAAGTTGTTAAAACAGCCTATGGCCTGAGAGCTGATATACACCAAAGATGAATCCGTCCATGACTAAATTAAAATCAGTTCAGAGTAAACTCAGACATACCAAATTTGTTATACGTTAAAACTTTATTTTGACTGGATACGATCAAAAGGCTGGTTCACGTATATCCAAATAGTTTCAAGAGTTATTTGGCTACACTTCAAAAATTATTGAGACTACAGTACAGTATTTTAGAAAATATTCAAGCTTGTTTAACACGAATTGCATTACTAACAAGACCGTCTTTTTAAAGAAATAGACACCGGTCTCTTATGTTTTCGACACTATAAACTTATAATATATTTCTATAAAATACATTTTATCTAAATGTTTATAAAATCAAAAATATAATTAGGATTATTCTTTTACCCAATGGAATATCCTTGTCATTTGTACGAATTGAGTAAAAATTTTGGACTACTCACCCCCTAATTGCGAGACAATACCTTGTCGAAACGTAATACCGTCATGAATTTGAGCAACTTGTAAGGTTAGAAAGACTGCAACTCTACGATTGAGTAGATAAATAAGATAATAAAGGACAACTCTAGTAGGCCTAAGAGTGAATGCTATAGTAGGCCTATAGCTCCACAATCTTTTTTTTTCTCACGGTTGAGAGTCTCACACTTCCTAAAAAGGTGTACATCTACTTACTTGTTTACACAAAATCTACATGTGCCATTAATTACTCAGCCCAGCATTCTAATTTGATCCTGAAGTTTGCTGTACCCCGCCAGAGCACTTATGTGAAATCTCACCTGTTTGATGTGTCAAGACATAGAAAGAACTCTTAAATGTTCCAAATTATCTTTGATTCTTTAATTAATTCTCCATGAACAGTATGCGTTTTGATTTCTCTTCGGGCCAATAAGAAACGCACCAGCCTGCTTAGTTATCATCAAATTAGCAGCCTCATTTCCTTCCACGCTTCGGTTAATTAAAGTATACCCTTTTACTAAATAAATTTGATATAGTATTAAAGCTGTACTTCGGTATAAATTTTTCGAAAACTTTTGTTCTGAAATTTATATGGTAATAAGAGAATTGATTGTTTAAATGGATCCTTTTCATCAACACTAAAGTTTTATGTAAATGCAAGGCTCTAGATTTAAATTTTAAAAGTGAAATTTGCTATTTTTCAATGAATTGTTGTTATTTTGAATTCGAATAAATATATGGAATTCTTATTAAGGATTCCAATCGTAACAAGTAATTCTATAATAATTATTCAAAATTTCAATTTTGGTTTTCAAAGTAATTTCATTATAATATTTATACTTGTATATATTCATATATACATACATACGAGTAATATTTTACATTCCAAAACATTATTTATTCCCTTACGATGAATATAAAGGATGAATGAATTCAAATTTTTCATTTTGCGAAAAGAAATTTTTTTATTAAAGAAAATTAAAGAATTTTTTTCTTAAAACATTTTTGCTTTTTTCTAGTTTGTAAATTTAACTTCTTGTGGATTTCCAAATTTCAATGTTGAAATTTCTTCACCATTCTACTTAATATACATGTACAAATATAACGTAGCTTCTTATAATTGAAAAATAGTTTTCTGGTGAAAAATTTTTGTGAATTAAATGAAATTTTATACATATTGTGTACATACACACATACATAAATATATGTATGCATAGTCTTTATTACTATTAAAAAAAAAAAACTCAAATGAAATGCTTAAATTATACTGCAGTTTTATTATTTAAGTTTTGTAAAGAATGAAAAGCAATTGAAAGTCATTCATCTTCACTTTATTAAAAGAAAATAATAAATGTAAGAAGTGGAAGTAATTTGGTTCTGATAACTATAAGTTTATATGAATTTACATTTGAAAAGTGATAATTTCATATTTCAATGTCTTGCTACTAGAAGTAAATTTAGACTTGCGTATGTGACAAAAATGTAGCAGAATGGGCCGAGTCCTTTATGGAATCATACGGTTGGCTCAGCTTTTCTCATTTTATATTGTGAATAAAATGATGTTATATTGTGAATATAAGCAAGATATTAATAACACCCAGACAAATATTTTTAAAATTTTTTTATTACTTCAAAATAGTTTAAAAACTCTCATTTTTGCAAATTTCATAGTGTGCAGGAAATTCAAATTGCAGCTTTAAGTATAAATTTTCAAAAAGATCAGTAGAAGAGCATTTTTCGCCCCACTTATATCATCATTTCAAAGCAAAGTCCAACTACAAAATAAAGCATTTACATTAATTTATTTTCACGACTCTGTTTGTAAATGCTAGAGAAAAAATTTTTTTTTTCTGATATTTAATTATGAACTGTTACTCACTGTTCCTACAACTTTTTAGATTTTATACTAACAAAAAATTTAAAAAATAAAATCTAAACTGCAAATCAAATTAATAAGAATCTAAACTAAATTTGAATAAGTTTTTTCCTAAAATAATTTTGTACATTTGTAATGCATTAAAGCAATAAAAATTTAAATTTAATGTTAAATAAAATTTAATTAAATATTTAATTGAGTGTAGGAGAACGCAAAAACAGAATTGCGTTTTTTATTCTTTGAAAAATTCTACATTTTTTTTTTTCGTTTTTTTCTTTTTTGTGAAATTTTCCAAGAAGCAACGGAAATAATTGTCTACGAACACTTTAAAAGTTTTTGCGGTAAAGTTTTCTTCCTCTTCTACATCTAAATATCATAGTTACTTAGAAAATTCTAGTTTCATCATTACAAAGTTCAAAATTATAATTAGAGTTCATTGAATTTTATATGGTATGGTTCTTGTTTTCTTTCCTTTTTTTATTTTTGTAGTTTTAAGATTTGCAAGGATTTAATATACATATTGTGGTATCTAATAAAAGATTTTATATAAATTTTTTCTTCTACCGTTTAAATCTTTTGTACATCTGTTGAAGGATTTATATTTTTCCTTATGAATTTATATAATATATGAAATGAAGATGAAAAGGAAATTTTTCTAAATTATATATGAAGAGATTTAAATTTATAGTTAAGGAAATTATAATAATTATATCATTCAGCATTACATAAATACATACTTTTATAGAAACCAATATTATGTAGCTCTACTGTATAAACAAATGAGATGATTTTATGCTCCGGAATTTAGATTTGACTTTCGTAATAAGTTTGTGTAGATTTCGTATATTGATCTTTTGTTATTGTA